ATCAATAAGAAAACACTATGAACTAAATTTGACAACAGAGATACCTAGTTTTTGAAAAGAAAGATTCCTCCAGTTATTAGAATATGAAATAACAGAGCCGCCTACTGGTCGAAGTGGTACACAGACTTGCTGCTGGGCACCTGGGAATCGTGATTTTAGTTTTATTAACATCACTGAAAAAATAAGGACTAAAAACACTATAGTATAAAACAAAAAGATAAAAGCATTTACTGAAGGATCTATTTTCCAAACTTACTCTCAGTCTTTCTAAAACCTGGTGTTGAATGTAGTTTGTGGGTACTCATTTAAAGTGCTCTGTACTCCTATATATAATACATCCATACATTCCATCAGTGCTTATCATTTTTGTTCAATTTGAACCTCAAAGATGTGCCACAGATTTCACAGAATAACTTAATGACCTGCAGTTAAATTACTTTCAAGCACACAGAGTAACTCAGATGTACTAAGGAGCCTGATTAATAGAGGTGAAATAAGAATATACTTTAAAAATTAAAAATATGACTATTCTGGTATCACCACATCAGTCAATTAGTACTTCAGGGACAAAAAACTGATAAGACTCCCTCCTTGATGCAAAATGCTGACAATCTAGTAAGAAGATAAACAAGTAGCTATAAATTGTAGAGTAGAGATGGAGGAAGATAGGGTTGGAAAGGTATGTGGCTACTATATGGGAAACAACTTGGAGTTTCAGGTTGAGGAGCCTGAACCTGGTGACTTGGTAAGAGCATTGACAAAAATGACTGGTAACAGAATATAGCATTGCTTGGAGTAGGGAGAAGCTAAAAAAGGAAGACCAAATGCCTACTGCACAAGCTCACAGCTGGGCTTCGAAACCCAGCTAAGAAGGAGCAGTGGAAATTAAGAAGATAGAGACATAATAGTGTTTACTTAATTATTTTTAAATTTTCTAAATGTGAGAAGATGTTACTCTAGAGAGCATCACCAAGTGTCATGGATAAGCCAGTTTATTTAACTTATTTACTTAAACATATTTACATGACATCTAAAGAGAATAATGTGTTTCCTTAAATATTTTTTTCCTTAGGAATTTTAGTATATTTTCTATAACATTTTATATAAATGATTGCTTAGTTCAATCATCATTGGAAAGGCTGGTAAACAAACAAAACAAAACAAAACAAAAAAACCAAGAAATTTCCCTTTTCTCTGTTCCATTTATTACAATTAAAAAAAAATTAAACATACAAATAAGGCATGCTTGTTTCTTTGAATAGGAAATAGTCACCTTCCTTTCTAATTAAGTAGAGAGAGAAGGAAGAACTCCACTGCCAGGAAGTTAAGCTGGTTGAGAACTAGGTGGAGAGGGAAACGCTGGGCAAGAGAAGGGCATATCTTCTTTGAAGATCACATGTCTGCAATCAGTACAACTTCCTTACCATCTTTCCACCCTCTACTATTTTAGGACCTCTTTTTGTTATTCTTGTTCTTTTTTTTTTTTTTTTTTTTTTTTTTTTTAAACATACAAATAAGGCATGCTTGTTTCTTTGAATAGGAAATAGTCACCTTCCTTTCTAATTAAGTAGAGAGAGAAGGAAGAACTCCACTGCCAGGAAGTTAAGCTGGTTGAGAACTAGGTGGAGAGGGAAACGCTGGGCAAGAGAAGGGCATATCTTCTTTGAAGATCACATGTCTGCAATCAGTACAACTTCCTTACCATCTTTCCACCCTCTACTATTTTAGGACCTCTTTTTGTTATTCTTGTTCTTTTTTTTTTTTTTTTTTTGTCTTTTTCGTGACCAGTAAGGGGATCACAACCTTTGGTGTGGTGTTGCCCACACTGCGCTCAGCCAGTGAGCACGCCGGCCATTCCTATATAGGATCCGAACCCGCGGCGGGAGTGTCGCTGCGCTCCCAGCGCCGCACTCTCCCGAGTGCGCCATGGGGTCGGCCCTTATTCTTGTTCTTTTTAAGGCTGCTCTTGGTACGCATTTTTACAGGGCAGGGAGCGTGCCACCTCACAATGTCCTAGTACAATACTATGTGCAACAAGTTGATCTAATAAGGCATTCATTCAAAAAGATCAAATTGCCTTTCAGTGTGACTTACCCAGGAAAGGCCCTGTTCTTGAAGTATTTATACAGAGATAATAGGTTAAAGGTGTCTGCACATAGTTTTGGAACCAAAACTTTGAACACATGATGTAATAACAGGACAGAATATGTCAAAACTGCTCTATTTTAAAAACCTATAAAGGCAGGACCCTCTGTCAATTGCACATCCCCTGAGATTTTTCATTTCTCTGAGGGATGATCATTTTCTTGCTAAATTAGAACCTTGAGGTTACAGTCTTTACCTCTCCAATACTCATCTTAATGGTTAACTGGGTCCCAATGATTCACTTTAACCCTGATCAAATCTGCTTTCTGTTCTCTACCATCACTGACTTTCATTATCTCTCACCAGTCTGTTATTCTGTACTCAACTCTCTTCCTCTCAATTCATTCTTTATACTACAAACTGTGTTACCTGTTTTGAAACTCCCCTGATTAAATTGTTCACTGACTTCCAGGATAAGTCCAAACCCTTACTACAGCATGCTAGCCCTTCTGTGATAGCGTTGTGTGTGATCTCTCCATCCTTCCATTTAACATCCTAAATTCTACTCTTATTGAATGTCTTCCCATCTCCTTGAAAAAGCTCCACCCTCCAGGCTTCCAGAGCTTTGTGGTTGCTGTAACTCTGCTTAGAGGGCCATCACTCATTTCTTAACTAATTCCTACTCATATTTTGACAGTCATGAAAGTACCTCAAAAAGGGAAATTGCTTCTGATTCAATAAAACTGGATTAAGTATCCATGCCATGAACTCTCACAACACCCTGGGCTTTCACTTGCGTAACACTTATAACCTGTTCTATAATTTTCTGCAAATCTACTGTGAACAACTTGTGGGCTGGGCTGTTTCTTTTATCTCATAGTAGAGTGCTTGCCACACAGTAGGTGTCCAAAACATTTTTTTGATGCCCTTTGTAAAAGGAACTTACAAGTCACAATGGAAATTGCATTTTATTTGCAATTTCTCTCACGACCCCAGTCTAACCACTCTCCTTCCTCATCTATCCTACATACCTGTCAGTCCAAACGTCTTCACATTGTTTCTGTCAAGGTACTTCCTTCCTCAGAAACTTCCTTCCTCAGACAACCTTGTTGTCTATGACAGCAGGTCCAAAGACCTAGATCTGGCTTTCAAAAATTGTATTCTCTATTTGAATCTACTTGATCTGCTTTATTTCCTGTCCATGTTCTGCCTTATCTCTGGTCACTTCTCACTTTTTCTATTGAAATCCCACCCGAGATCCTGCTCAATAATCACTTCCTCAGCTGAAGTCTACCTTGGCTCTTCAAACACATATTGAGCATATAATTTACCACTTATTTGGGCACTTGCATGTCATTTTGTTTGTATGCAACTATTTCCTGTGTAGGCCTTATCTCTCCCACAAAATGGCTTAAGTTCCTGGAGGTCAGGAATCATGTCATACTGTTTGGAATCTCTCAGTACAGCAATAATGATTCAATTTTGAAAAAGTTAGTAATAATAAATCATACCAATAAAATGAAAGCTGCCAAAATATAGAATTTGGTCTTTAACATGAAAAACTACAGAGTAAAGAGAAGATTAATCACTAGCTTAAGTTAGTCCTTTGTAGAGAAGGATGTAAACTGGGGAGATGGATCAGCTAGTTATAGGTGTAAATAAGAAAAATTTTGCTTGTGGTAAGTCATTATTACTCATTTTTCTCAGGTCATCACATTTCCTCTAAAGATATTTAATTATCATCTTTTTATTTTTTTTTTGTCTTTTGTATTTTTTCCGTGTCCGGCAACGGATCGCAACCCTCAGTGTTGCCCCCGTACCAGACCGGGGACCGGCAACGGGATTGCAAACCTCGGCGTTGCTCCTGCGCCTCGCTCAGCCAGTGAGCGGGAACCGGTCTGTATGTGGGATCCGAACCCTCGGGCGGGAGCGCCACCGCGCTTCCCAAGCGGCGCACTATCCAGTGCGCCACCGGGCCGGCCCTTAATTATCATCTTGAATATTATATAGGGGGTTCTGTGGAAAACCGCAATGTTACCCCATAACATTATACCAGATTGTAAGGTTAGGCATATGAGTCAAAAGGAAAAAGATACCTCAAAGCTATTATCCCTAAAATAAATATGTAAGATGACAACAGAGCCTATGGGAGTAGGCCACATTTTTCCTCCAGCAAAAATTCCCTTGACATCTAGGTAAAAGTGGCCCAGCACCCTTGTAAATATGTTTGTCCCATGGACTGACACAGATCTCACGTCAGGACACTTAGCTAACACATTAAATTAATCTGGAGACAAAAACAATGTGTTGCCCTCACAAACTCATATTCCATTCCAACAAAGCTTTCTTAAAAATATGATCTAACCAAAAAGATTATTTAATGATGTGAAGCACAGACACAATATTAGGACAGTATAAAAAGTTGTTTTGGTACCTCATGGCTTTTCAGCACCCTTAAGTCGCTACATGTATGTTGAGTACTCTAACTACTGAACCATTTTCATATTTATTTTCTGAGCTTCTCTTGCCACAAGTAGAGTGAAAACTGTAGTCCAAAGCAAAATGAAAAATGCATTAGAATCTCATCACAACAATTCTGTGGCTTTGGACAGGTATTTAATTTCTCTGACCCTCGGTTTCTTCATTTATAAAAGGGGGATAATAATACATATTTTGTAGGATTGTTGTGAGAATTACCAACAATGTAAAATAACTAACACAGTGCCTGGCAAATAGTAGGTGGTCAGAAAGTAGCAACGATTATTTTAACTTAAGTTGATTTTTTTTTTTGATGTATCATACTGAGTTATGAAAATCATATTAGATAGGACATTTACTATTCTGCAAAATATCTAAAATTTCATACTAGCAATCATAATTTCTGGTGACCTCATAAAATAAAAAAATACAATTACTGTTGTCATTAATATGATCTTTAATAGATGGAATAATGCACCGTTTTACAGCAAGCCTTTTTTAAACCTAAAGAACTGTCTTAAAATCTCCTTCTCCAACATCTCTATATCAATACAATCTTTTTATTTAGGTTTATATATATCAAAGCATTTACTTACACTTATTCATAGAAAACTCTTTAGTGGCTTAATGTCAGCTTTCATAGTGGCATCCATAGATAATACAAAAGAAAAGTGATATGCTTTATATCATACTCACACTGATCCATCAAACACAACTTATACAGCATAGCAAGGTCTCAGACGGCTTATACAAAAGCAAAATAACTAAAAGTAATTATTCATAAATTCATATATGATATTCTATCTGTAATGTACGAGCAAAACACACCAACAAAAGATACCCGTTAACAAGAAAGAGGGTTCTGAGGAAGCGCCAATATTTTTCAGCCTTTTTTTCCAGAAAATCATCCTCAGAAATGAATACTCTGTAGTTTATTTCTCCTGTCCATTCAGAAAGAGTATGGCAGTTACACATCTCCATGTTTCAGCTACTACAACACCCTAAGTGTTAGTGTATTTTACAATTATCCATGTATCTTCATTTGAAAAAAAAATATCAACAGAAAAACTAAGGATGATTCCAGCTTACATGAACACTTATACAATACAATCTCTGTGGAAGCAAAATGAGGAGGCATACAAAAGTTGCTTAAATAAATAAATGTGACCAGAAAAAGAAAAGCCACGGAAGTCAAGCAATTTAATGTTAAACCAGGTCTTAACTATCTTTGAATTGCATCTTTTAGTAATTTAGTTTTCTTACTGTTAAGCTTCTTTAAAAATGTTTCCTTTACATACTTAAGAAGATTGGTAATAATGTGGAGAGCCTGAGACAAGAGACTGGTCACAAATAACTGCTAGGATTTTAAGTACACAGCATCCCAATTTAGAGCTTGACTTTGTCTGATTCAAAGAACAATTCTGTTTGGCTGTGGTAATGTGATAGTTTACTATAGGTTACCATCTCAAAACCATCCAAGCTATTAATTACTAAAGCTATAAACTCATTAGTTCATTTTTAGGAGAAATTTTATAATGTTAAATTACCTCTTGAGAAAATTCTATCTCAGAGGAACTACTTCACTAAGTTCTCTTATTAAAAAACAAAACAAAATAAAATGATTTGTCCCATCATGTATAGCCTTTTAACCATAGAACAGAAATGGTTTTAAGTCAGTGCTTCAGTTCTAAGGTGTAAATTTACTGCAACGTATAGCCAATTAGTTGAATCATTCCCTCTATTCAGTAATTATATAACTGGGCAAGTTCTTATGATTAATGAAATCTGATATCATGTCTATGTGAAGTCAAATAATAAGATGAAACATTAAGTAAACTGTGTAACAAACACTTATTCAACTCAATTGCTTGTTTGCTACCAATTGAACTTTTTCAGTGTACAAAGGGATGAAAAGGGCCCTGAGTTTTTAAGTAATATTATGTGTATAGTGAATATAAAACGTGAAGATGTTTCTAAAATCTAAAAGTACAAGTAAAATGGAAAAAAAATCCATGTGTTACCTTTTAAAACTAAAAAAAAAAAAAAAAAAAAAAAAAATCAAGTTGTAGTTTCAAAAACAGTAATTTGCTTCAAAATTCAATCATAAACTGGACGCCCTAATAATGTTTTAGTTCTAAAGGTTCCTTCTCTCTTTCCCAGATTTTTTTAAATCTGGGTTTCAAATTAAGTTTTAAAAATGAACGTGCATGTTCACAATGCTTATAGTAACAATACAAACATCACAGTAATAACAGAATTGAAAATATTAAGATACAAGATTTATTTGGGGGCACAATTTTGATATACAGTATAAATTCTTCTTAAGTATTTACTTTCAAATGTATCTGCCATGAGATAAATTTCTAAATTTTTCTTTATATGCATGAACACTCAACTTTAATCAGTCACTTAAAAGTTAAATGAAAGTTGTTACAGTCCAGTTAATGTTGCAAAACAATAAGCATTTCAAAAGTGGTCTACAAAAATGTTCACATATAATACCTGATTAATTTAGAATTTGCGTTTGAAAGCTGATCTTGCATTTAATGTTTAATACAATATTTGATACAAAAAATATGTAAAACATTGTCATGGCTCAATCATAACACTAAGCATGCTGCAATAAAGGTTAAAAAATTTAATGGTAAAATGCTATACAATTCTGTATGCATGGCTTTTAAATTATAACTAATGAGAATATAAAATCATAAAACTCCACAATTTAATAGAAAATGTTAGATAATACAAAAATTAAGTGCTAATTTGATGGTAGTCTGATGGTTGAATCCATGGTCAAATGGTAACATCTTAACTCTCAATTCTATCAAACTATTGAACTATTACTTAACCAGACTAATGAATTTGAATATAACAAAATATAATTTTATGTGTTCTTAAATATAAATAAAGTTATTAAAATAGGACTGAGGAGAAAAAGCTAAAGGAACTAAGCAATTTTGTCTGAAGAATTGAGACTTAAATGTTAATTGAGAAGCCAGAAGCATACTGAAAAATAAAAATGTCGGATGACCAACTGCTCTCTTTTTTTCCTACTGGGTAAGAGAAATGGATTTAAAATGAAACAGGAGGTACAGACTAAATATGAAGAAAACTTTCCTGACACAGAAGTTGCAAGTCAGATAAGGGAGGGATAGATAAAGTCAGACATAACTATGAGGTGATTTAAAGAAAGTAATGGATAGGTGCACGAGTGGCAGTGCCCTGTGATTTCCTTTTTCTTGTTGTTAATCTGGAAACTTGTAGAAAAGCCTTCTTTTGATAATAGCTTTTGTGTAACAATAGCTCAAACAATGATCTGCCAGATTTACTTAATCAAAGAGCATAGGAGGGGATCATGCAAGGTAGTTTTGAGTAAAGATTGCATAGTTCATAATCTAAAAGTTAAAATGCAACTTCATCTGCGGAAGAGTAAACTGTCAGTAACAATATAAGTATTTAGAAACATCTCAGTCTGAAAAGACTCTTGTAGTATATGTGGAAGTGTTACACAATTTCTAGAATGACTGGTCTAGATAATCAACTAGCGTGTGTGCAGATTCTACCTTTAAGGAGTTAGCTGGGAAGATAAAGTAATAAATAAAGCAATATTACTCCGTGAATAGTTATGTAATAACCTGCTTATAACTGGTAATAGGTTCAACACAAATTTATAAAATGTTGTATAAAAATATAATGTGATCTCAAGTTCTAGGAGTTAACTACCTTCAATAAAATATTCATGTCCATAAATAGGAAAAAAGGAAACAAAAGGTTTACTGAAATATTTTTCCATTTTAAATGACTTTTGAGAGAGATTTAGAGCCTGGAAAGTTCAGTATAATAGCTACGGCCTACCAGGTATTCCACTGGGCTTTAGAAGCCAAATCTGAAAATATTTTAAACAAAAATACTTGCCAAATTTTACGATAATTCCCACTAAAACACATACTTTAGTTTTCTCAACTCTCTATAATTATTTTCACATTCAACCAATGTACATTTTCTCGAGCAAGTGGATACGTGTAAGGAAGCTATACAAATCTGCTTTGTAAAAAGGACATTATCCTTGCATACTTCCTACATCCTATCCAAATTAGTTCTTTATTAGTAAATTTTTAGTGAATTAGTAAATTTAAATTAGTAATTAGTAAATTTTCTAAAGTGACTAAAAGCATAAACTTTGAAAATGGAGTCAAAGGATTGATGAGACTGAACTTTTATGTTAAATTAATTCCTCCAAATCTAGTATAGAATCAATATAGAAAAAGTGTCTGTTCCCAAAAGTTGCCTTCACTTTTCCCTTAAAATTTACTTTATCTTTAGTTCTATAATATAAGAATAAACATTAGGAGTGAAGTAAAATGATTTTAAGATTCATAATGGCAAATGTAGGATTGAATTTTGCCTTGAATCAGAAATTATTTCTCAAGCAACAATCCGCATAGGCGAACATAAGATGTGTAGGCATGTCTAACTTCTAAAATCATTAAGGTATCTGGTTTGGCTTATATACAAACCACAATTGTGTTGGAGTGTAATGACTGAATTTCTTACAAAATGTCAACACATTACACATCCTGTCATACAGCATGAAGGCGGTAAGGTGTGGATAAAAGAGGTGTAGAGAGGCAGACCCGGGATAAAATCCCAGATTTGTTAATTGCTAGATGTGGACCTTGGGCAAATTACTTAGCTTCTCTTAGCTTCAGTTACCTCATCTGTAAAGTGGAAACATTAACTTTAATGCTCATATGGTTGCTGTGAGGATTAATAGCATATATACATCCCAGCATTTATTATGTTCCTTGTCATAATTTTCTACACAGATAACAGTGCTTTTTTCCAGTTATGCATTTAGAAAAAGTTTTTAGAATTTATATTTAAATCATTTTTGTTTTAACATGATTCAAATCAAGTTCTTTCAATGCCTTAATTCTAGTATACAATTAGGAACTAATATAGACTTTGAATATCTGTTATAATCCTTTTAAGGTTACATTACTATCCAGTGAGATGAATTTTAATATTTTTTAATTGAAGAGCCTTTTATTCAAAAGGACCCAAATACCTTCCTACATGCAAAACTTTGTTATAGCAGTTAAATATCAGCTTTAATTAACATTTATTAGTAAGTAAGTAATATAAGTCATTTAAAGTGATGTTGCTTGCTTGCATATTACAAATAGATTCTAAAAGTCTGATGTACAATTTAAAATTTATTAAAGAGATCTACACTTTCTACCTTTCCTACTTTTTCAAGAGTCTACTAAAAAAAACTGGGGAAAGGAAATTATTTGTTTAAAACATGCTTGCATGGAATGGGAAACTATACAAAGTTCTTTTAATTTGGTATATTAATTTTTTAAAGCGTTTTATTATTAAACATTAAAAAATGCTGGAAAACTTACAATCAATTGGCCCCGATACAAAGTATAGCAGAACTAAGATAACTCTTCTTTTGACAGGAAGAGATCAGTTAGACCTCAAATGGTCCTTTATCCTCAATGCTTCAAATTGGAGAACAAAAATATAATTTATTTCGATTTAAAGTTGTTGAACAAATGTCTGAAACAAATATCCTGAAATGCATTTGAAAGACATTTAAAGGCAAGAGAACTAAGTGAGAAAATTTACTGGGAAAGACAAATAATTTATTACAGAAATAAGAGAATAATAGCTATTTGAAAAAATTATATGCCACAAGAGTGATATTTGTTGAGGGTCTGAATCAAGAGAAGGGCCAATAAAATATAAAAGGAGGAAATCCTGGGCACTAGTAAAATAATCTTAATTTTAAGAATTCAGAACTGTGTTCAGCAATCCAGCTGAATAAATGGTAAATGTTGTAACATCTAAATCATAAGATCATAGCAGAGAGCAAACAAGAGAAGGCTTGTCAGTCACTAAATATTTAGGACATCAAATTGGGAAATTTAGGTTTTCTTTAGCTAAATGATGAAGACAGAGAAGTAGGATTGAGAAAATATCGTTCAGGAAATAAAAACTTAAATCAGGAAACTGGGGATTGTGTTTTCCTCTTAACTTTTTATCTCCCAGAAAAATCTTAGAACTTAATTAGATAATGTCTATTAAGTACTCTGAGAATCTGAAAAAAATAAAACAAGTGAGATCATCATTGTTTGCAAATTATAGAAAATAATTTGTGTTTAGAAGAAAAATTCCTTATTTGACAGAAAGTGCTTCATTTTAAAAAAACATGTAGAGGTTGTTATTCTAAAGAAGATAATTAGTAACAAAAGCAGCAAAGGAACCTTTAAAAAATGATTTCAAGGACATCACTAAAAGGTATACTCTAATATAATATAAATAATAAATGCTGCTCACATATCAAAAGTCATGTGAAAAACTGGAAAAAGAAGAAATTATAAAAATAGAATTAGCAAGAAAAAACACAGTTTTGTAAAGAGGTTAAGTCTCAGTCTGCTCAAAAAAGGTAGATTTGGCAGCAATCCTTCCTTTCACAGGGATTTGGCATGCCAGTTGAATGATTTTTCCACACAGTGTTTTTAGGTCATGGGAAGAGGAACGTTTTCAGATAAAGTCACCAGGCTTTCCTTGGGAACAGAATAAGATACTACAGGTTCAAAACTATAAATTACTTTTGAAGTTATAATAAACAGGAAGTGTAATTTTATTTGAGTCAAAGATGGTTTATTCAGAGAATGAAAGATATAACACTACATTGTCTTAACCATCTACCTACTTAAAAATTCCATATAAGTATAGCTCTGTAAGTTTTCTGATAAAAATGCATTTCTTAAATAAATGAATATGGAACATGAACATACATAAAAAATAAAATGAAAAAAGGCTAATATTTTATTTCTTGCATTTTGTTCTATGCTCTCTTACAAACTTCCAAAACCAGAACCAAATATGTTTATTAAAATGCCCGGAAGGAAATGTTCAGAATTTTGGAAGGTCAAGAGAAATGGCATTTCAAATTAGGTTTTGGTAGTTCCTTCTTTAGAGCCCTTTGAGACAATGTTTCTGCATTCTCCATGATAAAGAGAGAGAAAGCAAAAAATCAGATAGCTGCTTTCTCCTTTGCAAAATTCACTGTCATAGAGCTGACCTACAAAATATGGGAGATGGGGGAGAAAAATGTTCATATTATGGAAGAATGTGTACCCTGCTAGGAAGAGAGCCTACAAGAAAGCTTATTTGTGGCCTACAGACTATTGCACATTCAAACACAACACAAGAGAAAAGAATATCCAAAAGCTAATATGTTCAGGAACATGATCAACATATAAACTAGCTTGTGCCCAGAAATAAAACATGGATACCAGACATCACTGCAGTCAAACCTGTCATAATTTGTTTTTGTTTTAATGACCTTTAGAAACCGGTCCAAACTGATTATCAGCAATACATTGTTTTTGCTTTTTTTTCTTAAAAAAATATTTGAGACCACTTTTGATACACACACATATAATTTTGTGGTCATAACAGACAAATATAACTATAACGAGACTAAACAAAAGTGCAAAACGTAAAAAAAAAAATTAAAAATATGGAAGCATAAGCTAAATTTTTCTGCATAGCTGAAATCTATTTAAAGCAAGTCCTTGTTGCAGGGGTGGGACTGGGTGCTGACAGAAGGATAAAGCAGTTTTTTAAAAAAATGTCTTCTGCATGTTTAAATGATGCAAAAAAATAATTTCACTCCGTAGGCTTGAAAACATTTCACAGACAGTTCATTCCTATATCTTTAGACACCATGGTTGTGGCAGTGCCTCCTTCTGCAAGATAAACAGCAGTGCTGGATTTGGAATGAACTGCCCTGTCACTGCCATTATTATTGACCTCACAGTCCAGTGGTTCAGTGGAGATAACCCATGTAGAGGGGCGCCACCGCTTAAGAGAATAGGGAGTTTTCACACGTTTCTTGATCTTTTCACCTGATCCTGATTTACCTTCTTGTGTTGACTCACCTACAGAAAATAAAAGTACAGAAAAATGAACTATGCATAATGAAACTATTAAGAAGAAAAAGGTTAGGGTTGTAACTCAAGAACAGGTCAAAACAATGTCTGCTAATGAACATTTCTTGAAATTCATGATACCAGGCAGTGTTTTTCTAGGTAAAACTTAACCAATTCATTTTTGAGACTCTTTAAGGCAAATGCTTTTAAACTGATTGAATTATTCTATAGGGCAAGGAAGAAAATATGGAGAAAACACAAAAAGTAAAAGCAAAGGAGAAAATTCAAAGTTCACAGCAGTATTCTCAAATCCTTTGGTTTGGCAGAGATCCTAACATGGTAAAATGCACTTAATAATTCCACTTAATGTTTACAGTGGATCAAATTTTAAAGGTACCTGGCATATAATATTTTTCAGAAAAATGACCGAAATATTGAGTATGAATTTTTTAGTAATTCCCTCTTCCCATACCTGACAAGATTTTTTACTGATACGGAGCCTTGCAATAAAGTTGTGTCAACTGGTCTGTTATACAAGCCACTAAAGCAAGGGGCTAGATTTTACTGATTGTTTTTTGAGACATGTATCCTTCCTTTAGCCCATTTTGTAGTCCTTGACAACCATAAAACATAACTATTTTTTTTTTTTCATAAGTGTTGTCAGTATAAAAGAGAAATCATTTTGTACAGTGATGACTATTGCAGACTTTGGTGAGTTCTCCTGTCTTGTGTTATAATCTCTTTAGGGCAAGATATCCAGCAACAACTTAAGTTATTTGTTTAAGTGCTCTGGGCCTCATACCATAATACCTGTAGGTATGTGAGAGACTCAACACTTAACTGTTGAAAAAGATGACACTAAGAAACTGAGAACAACTTTATAGACAATTTACAGTGACTTTTCTGAAATTTCTCTGGACTTCTAAAATTTATTAAGTTTGGTCTGATAAAATCTAAATGTAGATGTAATAGATATTAATATGTGCAACAAGTTAATGTTTCAAAAGCTATGCTGGCATAATATTACTTGGAGCTTTTTTTGGTTTTTTTGGCAACATTTTTGCCCCCACATTTAATTGTACATATTTGTGGGGTACAGTGTCTTGTTTCAATACATGCATGTACTGCACAATGATTCACTTAAGGTATAGCAGAGATTTTTACCCATTAATCCACCATTTTTCTTCCTCCTCTTAAATTGGTGAGTATTTCCTTAATCTCAACTGTTCATAGTTGCATTATAAAGCAGCGGACACATAAAGTACATATTAAATTGGTAATTATTCTGACTATTATGACACTGACTTCCTAACTATCAACAATAAAAAAAATATACCTTTTTTCTTTACAGTAGTCTAATTACTTTTGAGACCCAACCAAATGGCTTATTTTATTTCTCAAAGTGGTAAAGGTATCACTAGCTGAAACACAATCTGATTCTGAGTAGTTATTTAAATGGTCCCAAAGGATACACAGGAGAGATTACATGATTCCTCCACTTACTCTGCATAGTGCTGCCATCTAGGATGTTTGTGGCTGAAAGATCCAGAGAATTAGGCCTCTGTGCTCTTCTGGGCTTTGATGGCCCAGGATCTGCTACTGTGCTTGGAACACCCTGTGTAAGAACATCTTGTTCTGAACATGGATTGCTATTGTTGTTATTGGAATTAGTTCGGCCACCTTCTAGTGGCCGTTCCCTTCTGTCCACGAGACGATCCAGAACACCTTCATCATGGCCAGCCTGTTGCTCTCGTCTCAATAAAGGTTCATGCTCATCAGGACTGGAATTAATATTCAATCGGGTGTCCTCACCAATAAATTGATTCTGCAGCATTTCTTGGGCCCTATGTGCCACTATGTTGACTGTCTGGCCAGATGGTACTGCCCCATTGGCATACTGGGCTGTGGCAGCATGGGAATTAACATTGTGGTTTCTACCTGCCACACCATTCATGGTGACTGTCACCACATGAGGTTCTGCTGCATTGATTGTATTCATCTTGGCAACTCCAGTTTCTACTTGTTTCAAATTTGATTTGTGCTTGCTGCCAAATTTTATCCGGGGCTCCTTTGTTGAATTTTTGGTGTTCAAAGGCAAACTGGTAGGTCTCTTAGGAAGGTTCTGTTGCTTGGGGAGAGGATAGATCTGAGCAGGTGGAACATCAGGAATTAAACATGCTTGACCATTTGCAGCCTGTGTGAAGTCCTGCTGTCCAGTCACTTCTGCTGCAAGCTTTATGAGTGGGTAAAGCAAGCTAGAACTGGTACTGCTCAGTGGGTCTGGCCCACTGAATTGTTTAAGAGAATGCTCCATGAGATTCTCATCAGAGCTCTCCTTGAGGTTCTTATCAACTTCTTTTGGGTCTAGCTTGTTGGTCTCCAAGTCTTCTTCTGTCAGCTGTAAGCAGACAGGGGTTGGCCCAATTGACTGTGCAACATTTGTGGCATGCAGATTTGTTTCATCTGGGTATGGCATCTCAGATATAGTGGTCATGCCAGTACTTGGAGTGAGGCCTGTGGTGTTTGTGGTGGTTGTGTTCGTGGACAGGCTGGTGACACTTGTTTCAGGGCTGGGGATTCGAGCTTGTGCTTGCTGTCGTTCATAATTAATTGAGTTTCGGTTCTTTTCCCCTACAGTCAAAGGTGTGCTGGACATCGAATGCTCAGAGGAAATATTTTTCACAATGCTGTCAGTGTGATGAATGGAGTCTTCAATGTATGAGGAAGAAGAATAATCTGGATAAGGGCCAATTTTTGGCACACGCCTGTTATGTGACAGGTTGCTTAAAGAAAGAAAGAAGTGTCACATTGAGAATGTACATTTATAACAAACTGTCTCTTCAAGCTTAACACCTCTTACTTTAAAGCCTGAGCTGATTTTCATTTTATTCCTAATCCATATTATCTTAGAGGTTACTTTAAAAGTCTAATCAAATAATGAAGTATCGATTAATAGCGTGCAAAATGCTAGTTTTATAAGAATTAAGCCTGCTGAAAAATCTATGTGGATCTAGATATGACTTATACAGATATTCATATTTTGGTTTACAAGAGTTAATTTAAAAATCTCCTCTATAGTTTTATAACATCACTACATATATCTTTATGAACTGTATACTTGTACAACCAGACATTACATTTCATGAGAGGAGGAACCATAGTGTATGTTTCTTTTGTACTTCTGTAATTCTAAATACATATTGCCTACCAACAAATATGTTATCAATTAAGTTCCAGTGGCAAAATGATGAAAAGAACATAAGCTTTTAGGCTGTTCTAAAGTGCCTCCATTAAGATACATAGTTTAGCAATAGAACATATCTTTCTGGGGTTATCTGAGCCATATCAATGAAAGCCCTAAAACCTAGGGTATGAGGCAGAATGTGACACTCATATAAAGGATCAAAGATTCAGAACTGCTCTCCAGTTATCAAAGGTTCTTCACAGTTATCATCACTCTTTAGGAGTGATAGTTCTTGGCCATCACATTGTAATACACAAGGCTACTTTAAAAATTTCATGCACAGATAGAATTGAAAGATAACACAAATTTCCCATGAGCTTTTTGCAGTACCCTCATATTTATATGATTTAAATCTGGTTAAAATAAAAACCAAGGGTAGCTTTACCTAGAACAATCAAGGTGTAAACATTGAGGATATTAATAGATACAAGTACTATAGGAGAGAAGCAGCAGCTGAAGGAGAGGAGGTACTATAAAGGAAGACTGACAAAGTTATAAGGGGAATTACAGGAAGGGGAAGAAGAAAAAGCTGCTATACAGCACAAGAAAAGGAAGTTCAGGAAAAATGGAGGGTAAGATTCAGTAAAACGAAACCTAGAATGAGAATGACTATGGGATAAACTGTGATTTGGGGGAAACTATGAGTAGAGACTGGAGATGAGAAGCATACAGGGGGTAGAGTTGAGTGACACAGGAGGCAAAAATTGCCAAAGCAAAAAGGAGAATCAAGAGTTTCTTATTCATGAAAGGTTCAAAAGCATTTAAAGTAAAACCTTTAGCTGATTCTTGGGAGAGGTATAAAAAGCATATTAGAGGACATGGAAAATACAGAGATGGAGAAGACAGAAGACTGTTCTCAGGTATGTGTAAGCTGAGAAAATGTTTAGATTTGCTATTCTCTACCTTCCATGACTTATTGATGTATAAGGTATAGAAGTTTATATCTGAAGCTAATTCAACCCACATATAAGTAGTGCAAAAAACCCAACTTTTGACCCATAGTTCATAATACAAATTGCTCTTAGAAATTAGAATAGAAAATAGCAAAGAAAACGATTCAAGAATCGAGTGTATTTTTTTTTTCCTTTTTGTCTTTTTTCGTGTCCGGCAACGGATCGCAACCCTCAGTGTCGCGCCCGTACCGGACCGGGACTGGCAACGGGATCGCAACCCTCGGTGTTGCTCCCACGCCTCGCTCAGCCAGTGAGCGGGAACCGGTCTGTATGTGGGATCCGAGCCCTCGGCGGGAGCGCCTGCCACACTTTCCAAGCGGCGCACTGTAGCAGTGCACCACCGGGCTGGCCCGAATCGAGTGTATTTTTATCTCAATTTTCTCTGGTAACTCTTTCCTGGATGCCTTTCTGAAATATTTAAACATTTATTAGATAAAATGACAAATCTGTAGGAAGGCTTTTTTCTCCCTAACATGGAACAAGGAAACACAGATGACATAGTCTGAAAGTTCCAAGTTATAGGAGTTTTTTAAAAAGCCTTTTTTTAGAACCAAAAATCAAACTTCTAAAAAAAGGAAATGTCTCATAAAATAATGTTCACGATGAAACAGAAAGACTTTTTGAATTGCTTTCATGTAAAACTAGTAATAGTATACTCTATAAGAAGGAGCATTGGATAGGAAGTCTGGAAACCTCAGTGTCCAGTGAAACAGCAGTTAGATACAAAGGCAAATTCATAGTTCCATTTACTTAAAAAACAAAAAAAGCAGAGGAGGAAGGAAAAATAACAAAGGATAAATGAGACAATATACATAGAAGTGCTTATAAATTTTGGGGACTATGAAAATACTTTACTCTTATTACTGCAGAGAAGTTGGAGCACTAATAGAAATAGACTATTTTCTTTTACTGTATCTTTAGACATAAAAAGCATAGACTCCATCTTGCATGCATACCAAAAAATTTTTTCGAAGAATAGAAAATATTGAAAGGAAAATTATAACTTTAGATCACATAAGTTAATCACTGCACTATTAGAATGCTTTAACAGTATTTATTTCCAGTTCATTGATCTCAGTTTCCAATACTGACTGGTAAAATCCAAACCTCTCAGGGTCTTACCGCTCATTCTGCATAGCAGTAGACATAGGATTGACTGTTGGGCTCACAGATTTGTTTCTTTCCCATATCATCATAAGTTCAGCCATCCTCTCCTCAGCACACTGTGCAGTAAGCCTAGCCTCTGCATCCTGGTCCCAACAGTCTTCGATTGTCTCCTTGAGTGACCTCACTGCCTGTAACACAAAGTACATGTCAAACTGTGTGTCTTTAAAAAAAAAAAGCATTGAGCTTTAAGTTCACAACATGAAGTAAAAGAAAAATCAGGTTTTTTAGACCAGTATTTTACACAGCTACAACAAAATATTTTAGACTTTTAGGATTTGTATATAATCAAAAGGTGAGTAGTAAGCAAGATTTAACTGAACTGTTTGAAGAACTATCCACAAGAGTAAGCAGGTGTAACAAGTTGCAAATGTTTCTTCAAGATCACAGGTTTATGTCATTGTTGATTCATGACCCTGTTATTTCAATCAAAAGCCACTAATTCCACTTCAAAAAGAGTTTTGAGTTTGATGGAATTTTGGCATTTGGCTATTTTATATCTCCAGGTGAAGTTTTTTCTCCTTTACTCCTAGTCAAGAGTGCCTCATTCCAACCTTAAAACTTAAAAACATCACTTCTTTAAACTAGGTGCAATATTAGTATCAAAAAATAGTCCTATTCTGTAGTATTCCTATAAATCAGCAATGAAAAATATATCCCTTTTGGGGACAGTTAGTTTTAATTCTCTTTTTAAAAACCAAACTTTGGATACTCTGGTCAACTGTCATCCAGAATTCCTTTAGACTTGTTTTTTTTTTTGATGGCTGGCTGGTATGGGGATCTGAACCCTTGACCTTGGTGTGTAACTGGCCAGCCCACAGATTTGTTTTTGAATTTGTTTTTATTAAGTTTCAAGCTTTTCACTTGCTCTCATATTTAAACTTCTTGTACCTTTAAAATGCTTACTTTTGGGAGATGGTTTTAGGCTAAGGTTGCCTAAATTAAAAATATGGGATACCCACTTAAACTTGAATTTCAGATAAACAACAAATAATTTTTTAGTATACATTATCCATGCAATACTTAATCTGGATATTTTATCTGAGAAGCATATTTTAGGCTAAAATCCTTGTTAGCAATCTTGGTGACATACTTAATGTTTCCTTATAATTTATGTCCTGCAACAAACAAATCTGAACTTTGAAACTGCAGGAAATTTAATAATGTTCTTTCTGGGCATGTGCTCACTGCATATCTATACCACGGTCCACTTTGAAGAATAAGCATTTTGAAAAGCTCTGCATATACTGGGGAACTAGAAAGCCATGCACACATCCCAGGCAGTATGCATGCTCAAAAAAGACCTGGAAAGACCATAAGTTTTCATAACTGGGTAGTCTTTAAACTCAGAGCTAGCAGGAACTGAAGCTAAGGCAGACTTGATTTTTTTTTTTTAAAGATGACCAGTAAGGAGATCTTAACCCTTGACTTGGTGTTGTCAGCACCACGCTCACCCATTGAGCTAATCAGCCATCCCTATATGGGATCCGAACCCATGGCCTTGGAGTTATCAGCATCACACTCTCCTGAGTGAGCCATGGGCCAGCCCCCTAAGGCAGACTTGAGAAAGGCCTGGATAATTGTTTAAAGAAGGGTCATAAGTACTTTCTTTTCTTTTTCTTTTTATTGGCCATGATGATACTCAAAATGTCCAGTTTTAAACAAAATATTACAAAATATGCAAAGAAACAACAAAGTAATGCCAATTGACAGGAAAAAAAATTTACCAAAAACTATCTCTGATGAAGTACAGACATTGAGTTGCCGGACAAAAATTTTAAAGTAACTATCTTAAATATGCTCAAGGAACTAAAGAAACCCTGGACAAAGAACTGAAAAACACAAGGAAAAGAATGTCTCAATAACTGGAGAAGAGCAATAAAGAGACAGAAATTATCAAAAAAGAAACAAAAAGAAACTTTGGCATTGAAAAGTACAAAAATTAAAATATTCACTAGAGTGATTCAACAGCAAACATGAGCACAGAGAAGAATCAGTGATCTTGAAAATAGGGAAAATAAAAATATTCATTCTGAAGAGCAGAAACTAAAAGAATGGAAAAACAATGAAACATACAAATAATGGGAGTCCCAGAAGGGGAGAAGAAAGGAGCATAAAGAATACTTAAAAGCATCATGGTTCAAAACTTCACAAATTTAATTTAAAAAAATGAATCAACACATCCAAGAAACTCAATGAACTACAAGTAGGATAAACTCAAAGAGTTCCATACTGAGACACATTATAATCAAACTGCCAAAAGCCAAAGATGAAAAGAAAATCTTGATAGCAAGAGAGAAGAAACTTGAAACATACAAAGGGTCCTCAATAAGATTAATAGCCAACTTCTCATCAAAACCATGTAAGCTAGAAGGCAGTGATATAACATATTTAAAGTGCTGAAAGAAAACACCTGTTAACCAAAATTCCTATATCAAGCAAAATTATCCTTCAATAATGAAGGAGAAATTAAGCTATTACCAGATACAAGCGGTCTTCAAAAAGTTCATGGAAAGATCTGTTTTATCTTTTAATTCCATTTTTTCGTGAACTTCTTGAAGTAGCCTCGTAAACAAAAGCTGACAGGATTCATTGCTGTAAAAGGAGTCCTTCTAGCTGAAGTGAAAGGATATTGACAATAACTATAAATCAAAAGTAACTACATAGGTAGCTATAAAAGCTAGTGTTATTGTATTTTTGGTTTGTAACTCTTTTTTTCTTATATGATTTAAGAGATGTGTTCATAAAATAATAATTATTATTAATAAATCTATATTAATTATATTAATGACTGAATATTATTAAGATTTTAATCTTTTAAAATTGACTTATAGATTTAATACAATTTCACTAAAAATTCCAGCAGGCTTTTCTGTAGAAATTGCTAAACTGATTTTAAAATTCATACGGAAATGCAAAGAACCTGGAATAGCCAAACGTGTGAAAAGAACAAAGGTAGAATACTAACACTACCTGAATTCAAGACATAGTATAATGTTAAAGTAATTAAGACTGTTGTACTGGCAACAAAACAGACATATAAATCAATGGAACAGAATATATAGTCCAGAAATAAACCCATATACTATGGTCTGAACGTTTGTGCCCTCTAAAACTCACATGGAAGTTTGATCCCGAATGTGGCAGTGCTGAAAGGTAGGGGATCTGGGTGGTGTATTAGTCCATTTTGTGTTGCTATAATAGAATTACCTGAGACTGAGTAATTTGTAAAGAACAGAGGTTTATTTAGCTTAGGATTCTGGGACAGCTGCATCTGGCCCAGGCCTCAGGCTGCTTCTACTCATGGCAGAAAGTAGCAGGCAGCTGGCGGGAACAAGCCGATCACATGGCAAGAGAAAGCAAGAGAGAGAGGGGGGGGAGGTGCCAGGGTCTATTAAACAACCAGCTCTCGCAGGAACTAATAGAGCGAGAACTCACTCATTAACCCCCATCCCCCAGGGAGAGCATTAATCCATTCACGAGGGATTTGCCCCCATGACTCAATCAGTTTCCAACACTGCCACACCGGGGGATCAAATTTCTACATGAGTTTTGGAGGGGACAAAACATCCAAACTCCATCAGGAGGTGACCAGACAGTGAGGGCTATGACCTCATGAATGAATTTGTCTATTCATGAATTAATGGGTTAACAGATGAGTGGGTCATCATGGGGGCAGCTCTGGTGGTTTTTTAAGGAGAGCAAGTGAGTATGTGAACATGCTCTTGCTCAATCCTCTTGCCACATGATACCCTGTGCCACTTTGGGACTCTTCAGAGAATCCCCACTAAGAAGAAGGTTCCTACCAGATGTGCCCCCTGGATCTCGGACTTGCCAGTCTCCAAAACTGTAAGAAATAAATTTTCTTTATAAATTACCCAGTTTCAGGTATAAGTCACAGAAAATGTACTAACACATCACATACATATGGACAACCAATTTTTGACAAAGGTGCAAAGGCAATTCAGTGGAGAAAAGATAGTCTTCAAAATACAGATACTCCTCAAGTCATGATGGGGTTACATCCTGATAAATTCATGCTAAGTTGAATATATAGTAAGTTAAAAATGCATTTAATACACCTAACCTACTGAACATCATAGCTTAGCCTAGCCTAACTTAAGTGTGCTCAGAACACTTACATTAGCCTACGGTTGGGCAAAATAATCTAACACAAAGCCTATTTTATAACAAAGTGTCAAATATCTGATATAATTTATTGAATAGCATACTAAAAGTGAAAAACAGAATAGTTTATTAGGACTCAAAGTATGGTTTCTACTGAATGTGTTTCACTTTTGCACCATACTGAAGTTGAAAAATCTTTAATCAAACCATTGTAAGTTGGGGATCATCAGTAAAAGATGCTGGAACAACTGGATATCCATATGCAAAAGAATAAATATTGATCCATACTTCACACATATAAAAAAAACCAAAATGGATCATAGATCTATATATTTTTTAGAAGAAAACATGGGAGAAAAACCTTTGTGACCTTGAGGTAGGCAGATTTCTTCAATCTGACACTAAAAACATAATCCAGAAAAGAAGAAAATTTGATAAACTGGATTTCAGCAAAATTAAAATCCTCTGCCCTTACAAAGACACTGTTGAGAGAATGACAAGACAAGCCACAGCCTGGTAAGAAACATTTGCAAATTATATATTTGATAAAGAACTAGTATCCAGAATACATAGAGAACTTCAAATCTCAAGAAAACAATCAATTTAATTTAAAAGTAGGCAAAAGGCTTGAATAGACATATCACCAAAGAAAGGACAAGGATGACAAATAAGCACGCGGAAAGAGGCTTAATATTATTAGTCATTAGGGAAATATAAATTAAAATGAAAATGAGATACTACTACATACCTATTAGAATGTCTAAAATTAAAAATACTGCACATACCAACTGTTGGCAAAGATGTGAAGGAACTGGACCTCTCATGTACTGCTGGTGGAATGTAAAATGGTACAACCACATTTGAAAACTGTTTGGAAGTTTCTCAAAAAGTTAAACATACACCTAACACACAATTCAGCCATTCTTCTCTTAGGTATTTACCCAAGAGAATGAAAGCATACTAAGACTTATACATGAATATTTATAGCAACTTTATTTATAATAGCCCCAAACTGAAAACAACCCAAATATCAATCACCAGGTGAATGGATAAACAAACTGTACATATCCATACAATGAAATACAACTCAGTAATAAAAAGGAATATACTACTGATATACATAACAACACAGATGAATCTCAAAATAATTATGCTGAAAGGAGCCAGACAAAAACAGTACATCTACATGATTCTATTTATATAAAATTCTAGACAGTGTGCAAAAAGCTGATTAGTGGTTGCATGGGGATTTCATGGGGAATGGAGAAAGGTGGGAGAGAGCAATTATAAAGGGGTACAAGAAAACTTTTGGCAGTAATTGACGTGTTCACAATCATGACTGTGGTGATGGTTTTAGGGGTGTATACATATGTCAAAACTTATCAAATTGTACAGGTACGCAGTTTACCAATTATAGTGCTTTAAATGTTAAAACATTTTGAGGAGAGGAAATAAGAATGGAGAAAAATAAAAATATTCAAGCAAAATCAGATGGGTCCTTTGATAGGAGACTCTAACTCTAGAAATAAATATATTATTTAAGTAAATGAGTTAAAGGGGGTATCATTATTATCACTGATGAGGAAAGACAAATAGGAAAAAAATGATAGGAAAGAAAGACAAGGAACCTTAAAAATCTTTCCTACACAAAGGGAGAAAAATACAAGTTGGGGCTCATGGGAGGGTCATGAAATCAGCTTAGACAGTTGGGACCAGCATTTAAAATAAAAATCTCTACCAGTCTCCCAAAACTGAAATATTCTGGACTAGAATAGAGATTACCAGGATGTAGAGTATGTAGAAAGGTTAAGTATTATCTTATGATACTGTGTCATGATATAAACTTGTATTTCTTAATGTAGGTTTGTGAGAAAAAAAAGAGTCTGGAAAATGCTGAACGCTAGATCATAGCAAAAGTCTACAGATTTTGTCAAGAAGAGAAAATGGAAAAACTAAAAATATATGAAAAGAGGGCTGGCTGGTTAGTTCAGTTGGCTAGAGTGTGGTGTTATAACACCAAGGTCAAGGGTTTGGATCCCCATATCAGCCAGCCACCAAAAAAAGATTAAAAAAAAAGAAAAACTGGTAGTTTCTGTAACATATAGTACATTTCAGAAGACTGGATTAAATGGGTAGAGAAAGAAAAGACTAGAGGGAAAAAATGAACTGAGGAAAAGTTCCAAACTCTTATGTGAAAATACATTAAGATAATACCATTGAGTAAAAGAGGTTATGCAGAAATAAGACAAAAAAATAAAGACAAACCAGACAAGTGATTTTAACAGGGGTAAGAGAACAAGCCAGAATTCAAGAGAAATTAAAAACTGGAGGATAAAAATTTGGAAAAGAATGAAAAACATGAAGGATGGTGGTATAACTGAACAAATTATACCTGAAAATTTTACATATGAGAAAAAAAGGTATTTTAAAAATAAACTTGTCCTATTATTGTTTTACCAATTTAAAACATTTTAACACAAAACAACAGCCTTAAACTCTGTATGTGTGATTGTTAAAGTGGTATATTTTTACTGTAAATTCTTAAAAGTATAGGGGAAAAAAATCATTCACAAACTCAATATTCAGAAGTAACTATGATTAACGTTTTCATGTATTTCATTTAGACTATTTTCTTTTTTTTTTTGTCTTTTTCCGTGTCCGGCAACGGATCGCAACCCTCAGTGTCGCCCCCGTACGGGACCGGGACCAGCAATGGGATCACAACCCCCGGTGTCGCTCCCGCGCCTCGCTCAGCCAGTGAGCGGGAACCGGTCTGTATGTGGGATCCGAACCCTTGGGCGGGAGCGCCGCCGTGCTTCCCAAGCGGCGCACTATCCAGTGCGCCACCGGGCCGGCCCTAGACTATTTTCTATATTTTCATTTGTATCAGGAACTATTTGTCCCCCCCTTTATCAACTGATCTACGTTTGGGCCCCTGGCAGTTTTTAAAATTAAAACTAGTGTTTTGTTCATTAATATTTGGAAGGTTTTGAGTTTTGTTACTAAAAAGTGTTTTTTAATTGTAATACAACTATGAAAGCAAAAATGCCTTCTTTTAGACAGACTTGCATTTCTTTCTTTTTATAAACTATGCACTTGTTAACCAACTCTAGTACTGAATTGTTACTGCAAAGAAGCAGTATATTGACTGTAACACATCAAATTTAAAAGGATTTGTTGGAAATGTACCAAATATTGTGAATCCCCTACTTAGTAACCTAATCTAAATTGGAAGTAAAAAGTTTCCAGGTAAATATGCATTATGGTAGAATTGTCAAGAAATACAGATCCTATATGCTATGTGAAATAAAACAATTTAAGGAAGATGAAGTTGCATTTTACTAGGATAAAATTTCACAAAGAGATTTTTCTTTTAGGGATACTCTACTGTGAGGCTATCACCTCTGATGAATCCTGGTAAAGTATTCAGCCTCTCACCTGCTGTCAGCAACCTCTTAAAAATCTGTCCCAGTTTACCTAGCAGGGACTACAGTTTGGAGGCAATTTTAGGGATATGTATTTGGCAATAGGCTCTTCAATCGCCACATACTTGAAGAAAATTTCAATTTCATTTGAAACAGAAACCAACCTTGAAGGGAATTTACTGACAAAGATGACCAATGAAGATAATGTTCAATCTAAGTCTGTATGGAAACATAAAACATCTCTCTAGCCTTTCTCTGATATGACACCACCTTACTTAAGTCAGGATCCAGAAGGAAAATTTTGTAATCCTACCAAGATGATCTAAAATTGAAATATGAAAATATATAGTAAAATAATTTAAATTTCTTAATTAATTTTTTCACATTTTTGTTTTTTAATTATAACCAAGAAAATTTTCTGTATAAAGTATAAATAAATCGAATTTACACCTTCAGAGGTAATCAAATTCTTATTATATTCCTGTGAGAACATATTGCTGTGTAAAAAAGCAAACAATAAGAATTTCTAGAAATATAAATATAACTGTGGAAATCAAAATTTTAATGAACAGATAACTGATACAATGGTAACAGTGGAAAAAAAAGGATGATTTGAAAGGTAAAGCTGTGTACCTCATTCTCAAACAACATAGAATTAAAAAACAGATGTAAAACAGAAGAAAAAAAATTGAGACCTTGAATGTCAGGTGGTCCAATATTTTCCTAATGGGAATTCTAGAAGGTAGAAATGGAAGGGGAGAAATCATTTTTTAAATAATATAAGAAAATTTCTCTCAATTAAAGCAAGTTTTGCATTTTAAAACTGAAAACCTATCTAGTGCAAAGCAAAATGCGTGAAAAGATCCATGCCTACACACATCCAGGTGAAATTTCACAATTCCAGTCACAAAGAACAAGTCTTAAAATCTTACAGAGAAAAGAAAACAAGAGAATAAAACAAAAACTTAACAAGACAAAAAGCAATGGAATGAGAGTGCAGGCATCTTAATTCTCATCAGCAAGACTGGCGGCTAGAGGACAAAAGCAGTGGTTTCAAAGTATGAGTAAAACAATTTTGATCTTGAAACCATCGCCCAGCCAAATTATTACTCAAGAGTGAGGGCAAGACTGAAATATTTTTGCATCCACAAGGATTCATAATGTTCACCATCCACATACATACTAACACACATTAGTTAAGGGGGAACTTCATCGAAGAAAAAATGATTTCCAAGAAAGAGAATAACAAGATTTTAAAAAATGTTCTTCTGAGTAGAACCTAGAAAGAAGAAAGAAAGATAAAGATGACAAGAAATCAAAGAGAACTTTGAAACATTCTTCCCAAAGTGACATGGGCTTTAGATCAACCAGTAGACAAAACATAAATCATTTAATAATAGAATACTACCAAACTGGGAGAGAGTAAATGAGAGATAAATAAGAAGAATAGGTATAGTATTTGAAGTTATAATGGTAGCCTTCAAAAGAGGGGAAAAAAATCCAGAATATTGCTAAAGGGAGTTACTTTTGGAGAGTGATAGTAATAGTAGACATTTTTTTCCTTTTCCATTTCCTGTTTTATGACCTTCTACTTAATTTGACGTTGTTTACCATGTTTAGGCATAACTTTAATTCTTTTAAAAAACTGTTCAGAAAAAAAAAAGGAAATACAAGGTACTCTCATCAATAAAAAGGGTACAATAATTACGATATATCATACAATAGAATACTGACCAAATGAAGAAAATGAGATATATCTATAGGAGCCTCTGAAGATATGTCATTGCTGTGAACTACATTTTTAACAAGCAAGATTCACAGGCTGTACCTTGGTTTAAGTCTAGCCTAAATTTTTATCAGCCGTTGAATATACATCTGCACTAATTAACATTTTTAGTATTATTCTCAGGAGAATAGATGGAATTCAATAATATTTAAAATATTAACATGTTAATTCAGCTTTTACTCAATCTGGTGAACTTCAGACACATCTGTTAAGTCTCTCTAAATAGTTTTACTAGGAAAAAACTGAAACAAAAAAGGGACTTTTTTATATTGAAAAATTTGAAAAGGTATAACATCATAAAAATCAAGTAAGTTGGATTTCTGGCAACTCTAAAAACTATTAACATTATTAACAATCTATTTTTGCTTCAAATAACATTAAAACATATTCAGTTTTTAAGTCCTCTTTTTAATAATTTGGTTTCTTCTTACCAGGCTATTTTCTTTCCAGGCTTCTGGGAACTTGGGTCTCTGTTTTTCCCTAGACACAAGAACCTGCATATCCTCAAAAGTGGGATGGTTTCCAACTTCTGTCTGAAAAGCCATCTGGTATTCTGGTACAGATTCACCTGTGTATTTGTAGAAAGAACACTATAATAAAATTTCCAGTTATCATAAATGATTAATAACGGGTATTTCTGATACTAGTAGGCAAAGAAATTGTGTCACATTCTTTTTAAAAAAACCCTTCAGACAAATTTGGAAATCTTAAAAAGACCCTGTTGTAGGTTTAATGCATTATTAATAAATGCTTTACTTAGAATAGTCTCAAATATTTGTTGATAAATCATATAGTAGTTTCAATGATGGATAGGAACTTTTAAATGTTTTTACTAAATTTAGAGGGAGAAGATTATTATGTTTATAAGGTATACTGAATACATGAAAATATGCTTAAACTCTGATCCCATACAGGCATGAAAGGTGGTGAAGATAAGAAGAAAGTCCACAATCTAGTACAACAAAACATGTCTGTAGAACCTACTGGGTGGGTTGAATAGTCCCACGTCTCATTTCATCATTGGCTCTATTATATTTCAACCAGATTTCATCACAAAATATTTTTGTGATATTTTGTATTACAAAAATGTTCATAATAATGGCCATTTGACCAAAAAATCAGTATACTGATTTTTAAAAAAATTCCTCTTAACTAATAAGGAGTATTTAGATCAAGGATTTTTAAATATCACTAACTATTCTACCACTATTTAACAACCTTCTTCATTGCCAATAAACATAATCAGCTACTAGTGATGATAGGCTTCTGATTTTTACAAAATGTGATAAAATTAAATTTATTAACAAACATATTAAGCCACACAGAAGACCCCTGGTCCCAACACTTAGAAAACCAATGATCTAGTGGAAATCTTGGCAAAAACACAAGAAAACTAGAGACTCTTCCTGTCTCCTTACCCCACCACCTCCCCCTTAAAATGACACAATAAATTTGAAGGAAGAATACCAGGATGGAAGATAAGGTACCTAGGTTCTAATCTTGGCTTCATCTCCACCTCGGAAAAGTCACTTAATTATTCTGTGTTTCAGTTTTCCTGTCAGCAAAATGGAAATGTCTGCTTCCTTATATCACTCACATGGAGATAATACAAAGGTTTTTTTTTTTTTTTTTTTTTTTTTTTTTTTTTTTTTTTTTTTTTTTTTTTTGGTGGGGAGGGGACAGCTGGCCAGTAACAGGGATCTGAACCCTTGACTGGAGATAATACAAAGTTACAATGACCCAGATAGAAAATACTACATTATAAAACATGCCACTTAAGTTTTATGTTTCTGTTTGAATTTTCAAAACAATCCACAAATACTTGCCCTTCCACAATATTAAAAGATTACAAATATTAATTCTGTAATTCATGCAGCATAGCCCAAGTTTATTGGAATACTGCATTATCTATAAATACAATTGGTATTTTCATACTGTAAAAACCTAAGCGGATACTTAGTTTTGACCAATAACCATCAACACTGAACCTGAGAGACAAAACTGAAGGATTTAATCATGCCAGTGAGTATATCACTTTCTTCCTTGAAATCCCATATGGCAAAACCTCAACCCAAACCATCTGCAATCTGTAAAATATTTACTAGCATGTCTGATCTGTCCTTTTTAAAAATTTTAATAGTAAATTTTATTTAATCCAATATATACAAAATAATTTTTTTTACCTATCAACTTATTTTATTTTACTTATTTTTTAAAACAGGGATATGCACATTTATTTGTCCAAATAACAAATACATAAACTGGAAAACAGATGAATAACAAAATACTCTGTAGAAAGTAGGGCTTCAAATTTTCACAAAACAAACATGGAAGATGTAAAACTCATTAAAATTTACATATTTCATTTTGTAATCTCTACAATTATTTGAAATAGCTCTCTAAAGTCTTCCAAAAGCATGCAAGTATCAAATTAATTTCAACAGAGGAAGATGAATAAACTTTTCAAAGGCAAATTAATTCCTAGGCAAATCAACAAGTACATTTAATAAAAAGAAATCAAGAACAGAAATTCAATACTAACATTAGCAACATAAATTGCATTAAAAAATCAATAAAACAGAATATAAACACAAGAGCACTTCAGAAAGTTTGTAGAAAAATAGAATTGAAAGATAATGGAAATCTTTCAATGAACTTTTTTGTTTGTTTAAATTTTTTCCTTTTCTTTTTCTTTTTTAAAAAAGTCTAAGATCATAGAAAATATGTTCTCTAACCACAAAAACAGAAGGAAATTTATAAAACTCACAAATGTGTGGAAATTATACAACACTCTCCTAAATAAACAATGGGTAAAAAAGAAAAATTACAGAGAAATTAGAGTATTTTGAGATAAAGATCAAAGCGCAACATATCAAAATGTATAGGATGGAGGGCTCATGCACTGCTTAGAGGAAAATTTATATTTGTAAACATCTATATTAAAAATAAGAAAAATCTCAAATTAGTAATGTAAACTTCCACCTTAAAAAAATAGAAAAAGTAGAGCAAACGAAACCAAAAGCAAATATAAATAGGAAATAAAGATTACAACAGAAATATATGAAACAGAGAATTAAAAAACAATAAAGTCAACAAAACTAAAAGTTGATTCTTTAAAAAGATCAACAAAATATGAAAACCTTTATCTAGACTGACCAAGAAAAAAGACAGAAGACCAAAATTGCTAAAATCAGAAATAAAGTAGGTGTATTATTACATTGTCATTGGCTTTTTGTGGTGGTAAGATTTAGTTTCTTTCTCTTTCTCATTTGCATTTTTGTTCTACCAGTGGGTTTTGTTCTTTCTTGTGTATTTTTTGTAGTGATTATCGTTTAGTGGATTCCAGATGCAGGATTTCCTTGAGGGCTTCTTGTAGGGCTGGTTGTGTGGTGGTGAACTCCACAGCTTTTGTTTGTCTGGAAAATACTCTATTTCTCCCTCATTTCTGAAGGACAGCCTTGCTGGGTATAGTATTCTTGGAAGGCAGGGTTTTTTTCTTTTAATATTTTGAATATATCATCCCATTTTCTTCTGTCCTGTAGTGCTTTTGTTCAGAAGTCTGCTATTAATCTGATAGGAGTGCCTTTATAGGTGATTTAATGCTTTTCTCTTGTTTCCTTTAAGATTTTCTGTTTGTCTTTGAGCATTTACAGTTTGACTATAATGTGTCTAGGAGAGGATTTCTGGGGTTGAATCTGTTTGGGGATCTTTGAGCCTCCTGGATCTGAAGGTCTATGCCTCCCCCTATACTTGGGAAGTTTTCTGTTATTATTTCATTGAATTGGTTTCTCATGCCTTTTCCTCCCCTCCCCCCCTTTTTTTGTCTGCCTGGGTTATTTTGAAAAGGTTATCTTCAAGATCAGAAATTCTTTCATCTGCTTGTTCTAGCCTGCTGCTTAAGCTATCAGTTGTGTTTTTAATTTTGTTGAGTGAATCTTTTCAGTTCCATGAGTTCTGCTACATTCTTTCTAAAGGTATTAATCTCTTTGTACATTTCCTCCTTCATATCCTGGATTTTTTTTGTTTGTTTCATTATGTTGTCTAACTGAGTCTTCTTGTATCTCAGTGAGTTTTCTTAAGATTGTTGCTCAGATTCTTTTTCAGTCATTTCAAGGGTTTCAACTGCTCTATAGAGTCTGGTATTTGAGAATTATGTATCCTTTTGGTGATGTCATATTTTCTTGAATTTTTGTATTTCTAGAATTTCTGTGTTGATGTCTGGTCATCTGGTAGAGCAGTTGCTTCTTCTATTATTCTGGAGTGGGCTTTGAGGAGAGAGGTGTCCTCTTCTTTTTCCGGTCTCCACTGATGACTCTCCTTGCATCAATGCAGTAGAGGGTCTGGTGGGCGACCTGCATGGTGGCTGTGGCTGCTGCTGTGGCATCAGGCCGCTTATTCAGCAGCTGTGGCTGTGGCAGTGATGATGGTAGGCCACCCACGTGGAAGCGGTGCATTCAGTGTGCTCTCTTGCCTGCTTCCGGGCAGAGAGGGCTGCAGCCCTTGGTTCCTTGCCTAGGACCCCGGGTGTGCTCCCTTGCTTGCTTTCATGTGGAGAGGGCGGCAGCCCTTGGCTCCTTGCCTAGGACCCTGGACATGTTCCCTTGCCTGCTTCCAGGTGGAAGGGGCTGCAGTCCTTGGCTCATTGCCTAGGACCCCTGGCATACTCTCTTGCCTGCTTCCAGGCAGAGCTGATCTGTCTTTCTGAGACACACACACAACACACATACAATACCTACCTCACAGGTGTTATTTATTAGATTTTTTTTCAAGTGCTAGTTTAGTAGAATAATTAAAAATTCAAAATTTTACTTATTTGTTTTAATTAGGTATAAACTATAACTAAAAAACTTGCTAAATGAAATCGATACACAATCTTCTGTGAATGCAATGACATTATCACATAAATTTTCACTAAATCATCTTCAATAGATACTTGTTTAGCGCTAACTTAGTGTTAGGCACTGGGGACACAAATATCATCATGAAAGATATTAGCCTCACTGGATTTTTTTAAAACTTTACAATCACTGGATTGTTCAAGGGAAGTTTTATATTCTCATTTTCTTTCAAACTGCCTAAAATAGGTCAAATATCTTACACTATCAGATTGCATCCCCTGCTTGCCTCCCCATTTGCCACTTGTTAATTATGTCTCAACCAGTTAAGAATATTTTTAGTTCTCTTTTTTCAAATTACACTTTTTCTTTCTCTTGCCTTCTTTTTTTCTTTCTTCCTTCCTTTCCCCTCTTTTACTCAAACTTCATAGCATTTCAATATCCTTTGTAATATAGATACATAACATTTATTTTACTAATATTTTCTGGAGAGGCAGCCTTCGTTACATAGTGCTTCTATTTAATAATAAAGCGTATACTTCATTTTGAGGTGTGACATAAACATTTTTCAAATGTTTTCCAAAAATTTTATAATTATTATATGCTATTCTTTAGGCTTATTAATATGTTTATGTAATCCTTTTTTTCTTTTCAACTTCTACCCCATATCATTGTTAAAAATTTCAAGAGTGCCCTGTATTTCCTGCCCATGCTTTCTTAATACTCTTTCCTCCTATTTGTCTTCTCTATTCCACAAAAATTTCTCTAAGAATACCAATGCCCTCCTCCTGTTCAAATAAAAAGATCATTCCTCAGTTCTATTCCTCTTGGCCTTTCAATTACATCTATTGCCATCAATCTTGGTTCTTAATGCTTTCTAACACTGACTTCCAAGACACTATGATTTTCAATTTTCTCACTATTCCTCTGATCATTTGTCTTCTTAATTAACCTACTTAGTGGGAGGAGTGCCCCAATATTCAGTCTTTATAACCAATTTTTCCTCTCCATCTGTTATGTTAGGGGAGTGCATCCATTTGTAAGTTCTCAACTACCATCTCTATGTAGACAACTCCCAAGTAACCATTTTAGTCTTAATTTTCTTAGTATCTTTTTTGTTCTTTTAAATTCTCTAAAAAATTTTTTTATCAGTTGTCTATCAATACCTTATCCAAAAGTCTCTATAATTAACTCATCTTTCCAATATAAACCGATATTTCTTTCTCAGTTCTTGGCTACCACCTTATTTCTTGAATTTCTGGATATTTCTCAATTCCTTCAACTCCCATTCTTCTAATAGGTAACCAGAAAGAACCACAGACTCCTTCTCTGTGTTTTATCTCAGATGTGCCTCTTCTTCCCCATTTCCACATCCAAGATTATAGGGTATCTTAATGCAACTCTCTTCTTATTCCTTTATTTTTATTTTTTATTGTGGTAGAATATACATAACAAAAAATTTCTATTTTAACATTTTTAAGTGTACTTGCAGCACATTTACACTGTTATGCAACCATCACTACCATCCATCTCATCTCTAGAACTTGTTCCATCTTCCCAAGATGAAACGCTGTACCCATTAAACAAAAACTCCCCATTTCTTTTTCCTTTTAATAACTCCCTTCTAGTTCTTTCTATTTCTATTTTAATTCATCCTACATATCTGCTAAAATAATCTGCAAACAAAATTTAATTGTCTTACCCTATTCAAACATCTGATATCACTTTTTATTATTTATCATATCAAAAGCAATAGCCATTCTTTGAATGCAGTAGCTTTTCAAAAAATAGTGGTGGCAGTGTACTAATGCTGATGAAAGAATCATTTTAGTAGACATGCTTCTAAAATGAAAATCCTGGATTAGAATATTTAAAAACACTCACCTGCAGCCAAAGTAGTAATAATAGAATATTTGTGATACTACTGCAATTACTGCTATTTTCAGAAAAATGCCTCAGTTCAGTCTCTGTACTTCTAATTGGAAAATATACTTCTAACTAGTAACTGATTGACCTGTAGTTAATCTAAATAACTATTAAATTATTTCACTATATTTTAGAATTATAAACTAATGTTTAATGCTTAATGTCTTTAAACTAAAACAATTCAACTCTACTGTTAATCTCTGCTTTCATTAAATAGTTACATTTCATAAATTTGTCCAGTGCTGGTTCCCTTTTCTGTGTTTAATGGTGTTATTTCTATAAGACAGAGACCATATATATCAAATCATTTTGTACAGTATCTAGAAGAATGCAATATATAGATTAGTAGTTAAAGTTTTTATATGATACAGTAATAACAGTGATGTAACCTCAACAAGGGGAGAAAAACTACAAATTCATTTGACTATTTTTTTTTTTTTTTTTTGTCTTTTGTCTTTTTTCCGTGTCCGGCAACGGATCGCAACCCTCAGTGTTGCCCCCGTACCGGACCGGGGACCGGCAACGGGATCGCAAGCCTCGGCGTTGCTCCCGCACCTCGCTCAGCCAGTGAGCGGGAGCCGGTCTGTACGTGGGATCCGAACCCTCGGACGGGAGCGCTGCCGCGCTTCCCAAGCGGTGCACTATCCAGTGCGCCACCGGGCCGGCCCTCATTTGACTATTTTAAGTAAGCCTCAAACAAGCATTCACATTAAATGAATATTCTTTCATTTAAATGAATGAAGGAGAGGAAAGGAGGGAAGGAAGAGGAAGGGGAGGAAGAAGAGAGGGAAGGAGAGAAAAGAAGAAAGAATAAAGAGAAAGAAAGGGAGAATGAAGGTAGGGTAGCAAGAAATTGATGAAGGGCCACAAAAAATCATTACGTTGTGTGATGCTGAATATACTAATTATGCTGATTTGAGCATCACATATTGCACATGGGTATTGATATTCAATGCTGTACCCCACAGATATGTACAATCAATTATGTTTCAATAAATTTTTTAAAAAGGAGAATGAAAGAAAAGAGAAAAGTACACAAATAATTCATTGCTTCTAATTCCTTATAGGGTCAACTCAGGAAACATCATTAAGTGTAGCCATCTCAAATGCTCAGAGGGTACTTAAAGAAAATGATGCCTACTAAAGCAATCAGAGACCAAACTAAATACAGTTAGATAAGCTATTACTGGTAATTAATTAAATGGCACTCATATGAAAACTGGGAGTCCTTTCTTAAAAAAATTTCCTGATTTTTTTAAGCAAAAATGATACCTGATTATTAGCAAAAACCCTTCTGCTAATAATATTTCCGAACACTAGATGGCGATGAAGCAAAGGTTTAAAGGAAAGTAAAAAGATTCTTACATAAAAGTTGATTTATTTCATATAAGTAAAGAAAGAAGATATAACTGCTTCACTTCAAAACATATATCAACTTTTGACAGCAGTACTTACCTGGGAAGAGGTCTGTACATCTCATAAATATCTCCCAATAGATTAGTCCAAGTGCATACATGTCTACTTGTTTCAAAGCTGATTCACAGTCCCTCAGGTTCACAGCTCCTTCTAGCACTTCTGGTGCCATATATCTGATTGTGCCAACCTGATAAATCAGAGTGATATTTTTCAGAAACAGAATGTAGCATATTCTGAAGGGCATACATTACACAGAAGTTAGATGTAAATTTAGGTCATGTCAATAATATTTGACCCTAAACATGTCACTGAACATTTCTACACCTTATTTTTTAATTTATAAAATGCCCTTCCTGAATATTAAACTGTGGTAAATCTATATTAATGAGTACTATTCATCGCTCATAGAGAATGAGCTAGAACTTCTTTGTATATCAACACAAAAAATCTGTAAGACACAGTAAGTGAAAAAATTGCAAAACAATATGCGTACCATTTAATTTTTTTTTTTTTTTTGTCTTTTTTACTGACCGGTAATGGGATCGCAACCCTCAGTGTCGTGCCCGTACCGGCGACTGGCAACGGGATCGCAACCCTCGGTGTTGCGCCCGCACCATGCTCAGCCAGTGAGCAGGAACCGGTCTCCACATGGGATCCAAACCCTCGGCGGGAGCGCCACCACGCTCCCAAGCGGCACACTCTCCAGTGCGCCACTGGGCCGGCCCACCATTTAATATTTTAAAAAATTCACAAAAATGCATACACATAGGTATAGACGTGTGAGTGCGAATGCAGAGAAGAAGGTTGGGAAGGATATGTTCCACATTGCAATAGTGATTATCAGAAGGTGAACTGTTCTACTTCAAACTTGGTAATTTCACTCTGGCTTCAAAAATCAGTTCCTAGAGTTCTGGTCAAGATGGTGGAATAGATGGTCCCCAGAATCACTCTCTCCCCAAATCAACCAATTTACAACTATAAAAATGTAACAACAGACAAGCCGGGGCCACTGGAACTCAGTGGAAGAGGAGGAGAGACCTACGGAGTTCATGAAAGGTGAGAAGCCACGATGAGAGACAGAAAAAAACTGCTCAGAGAGTTTCGGGCCACAGCTACTTTAAGGCTGGAACTGCAGAGCGCATGGAGCAGGGGCCAGCAGAAGCCGCACCTGTGCCCTTCAGATGGAGTTGCTTGGAGGCAGCAGGGGAGAAGAGGGCCAAGGTGGCCCCCAGGACAGCAAGACCACTAATAGGGTTCCTGTGGACCCACGCAGGAGAAAGGAAGCAAAACAGATGAAAAAGGGGAGTCGTTCAGAGGCCGGTGAGTCATTGCAAGGGACTGGCACAGAGCCCATACTAGGACCTGTCCCCTGGGAAGTGTTTGGAGCATGGGTGGTGGGGGAGACAGGCCCACTGGCAGAACACTGGGACACAGCAAGGACAGCCAATCTGCCCCCGAGTCAGCTCAGGACCACTCAGAGGAGATTGGTTGGGAATGCAGAATTGCATGGGGTGCAGTTTGATGAAAAGATTCAGGCCCAGATCAGAGTTTCTACACAACCCAGGTGCACCTGGTCCCTGGAGGGCCAGAAGTACCTATAAGGTCAACCATTAAGCCCTGAGCTGCACAAAAAGCCTTCCCCAGGAAAACAGCAGCAAAGCAGCAATCTAGCTCAACCACACAGCTCAAGTACTGGTTCCCACAGGAAGTTCCCACTTTAGAAATAAGCAAAGGACAAAAAATTAGTTCTGGCCCAGGCATACCACCAGTGCTTAGGGGCCTGCCAGGGGACCTGAGGTATGGAGCCAGGGACTGGAATACTCGCTCACAACCATGCACACTGCCAGTGCCTTGGGGCCCCACCTGGAGGCCCGGGGCTTGGAGCCGGGGACCTGGGGAGCAGACCCCACTCCCACATCCAGGCACACTGCCAGTGTCTCAGGGGCCCACCCGGGGGCCTGGGGCATCGAGCCAGGGACCAGACCCCCCCCCTGCCCACATCCAGGCATACTGCCAGTGTCTTGGGGCCCTGCCTGGGGCCGGACCCCCCTCCCCCAACCAGGTATACCTCCAGCACCAAAAAGCATGCCAAAAACATCACCTACATGTGGGAGGCCGACCACAGCCACCACAGTAACCACGGCTGCCACAAAAGTGGCTAGACGTCACAACCACCATGCAGATGTTCTATCAGCCACTGGAGTGCATTGACACAACGACAGTCACCAGCGGAGACTAAAGAAAAGAATAGGATGTCTCTCTTTCCACAAAGCCCATCCCAGAGTGACAGAAGCAGCATCTGCTCTGTGATAATATTGGGGGACCTAAACACACCTTTCACCATTGGACAGATCATCTAGGCAACAAATCAACAGAGTAACCATTACTCTTTCAGAGGGAGAGAAGAAATCTAGGGTCATCAGTGGTGGGAGTGGGGAGGGACAGGGGGATAGGGAGAGATTGGACAAGGGGCATAAAGAATAAGTATGATTTGTAACAATATACCTACTAGTAATATTGATTTGATCAACATAGAATCCCAAAAGTATGCATAATCAATTATGATTCAGTAAAAAAAAATAGGGGAAAAAAAAAACAAACCCAAAAATCAGTTCCTACAAACTTATTCCTAATGCTTGTCAGAATGAATTGGAATGGCAGTGATTTACAAAATAAACTGATAGCTTTTACGAAGGACTTTATGCACTGTCTTTTGGTTTTCCTAATTTTGTAATTCCTGATATTCTATAATTGAAAGTATATAAAGACAATTGTACTAAGCAGTGGATTTTTTAATGCAATTCATTATAATTTTAAAGTATGTAAGCGTGATACCTTTTGTATACACTCACCTCACTTATAGCTGCATTATCTTCTTCCCCTGGGCGCACCAGTCTATTTCCAGTCAGCCTCATGGACAAACCAAAGTCACTGATAACACAGGTTCCATCATTTTTCACCAGGACATTTCTGCTGTTTAAATCTCGATGGGAAATTGCAGGTTTATAATGATCTGTTTGAATAATTTCAAACATTTATTAATGCTTAAATAGCACTGTTGCACATAAAAATGAACATGTAGGTAATAGGAACTACATAAATATAGAAGACAGTGTTATTTTCTGCCATTGATTTTCTAATAACAAAAAAGGACATAAGAAATCAAACTTTCAACTCACCCTCATCAGTGTTTTCTAATATATTTCATAACATAACTCCTGTTGCACGAATAGTTAGTTAAGCATTAAACATCAGGCTGAAACTAATAGCCAACATGCTGCTACTTCTAATTCTAACACACACGTTTTTTCTCTTCAATTCTAGGGAGTAGAACGAGGCAATACAGAAAGGAATATTTGGTATAAACACCGAAAAAAAAAAGTCAGCTTGTCTAAAACCAGTATCAATAAAAAACTAGGTGGCTCCAAAATTTTAATAAGAATCTTATTCTATCCTCTATGCTTAACAGATCAAACCTGTGACAGCATATCCCAGTTTTATCCTTAGGTTTAGCCATGTCTCTAAGCTCACCTCAGCTCTTCAAATCTAACTAGAAATAGTTTTACTATGGATTAGGAGAACAAGTGGAGGAGCTGGCATCTCCCAGCAAGATATGAAAACCTGTTAACTGATTTTATAGAAGTGTTATACTCATTCTATTACTTGTTTAGCTTTATCAGTAGACTATAGGCTCCATGAAGGCAGAAAGAAAACACGTTTTATCTGAATTTACAAGGCACAGAGTAGACACACAGTAATGCTTGCTGACTGAAAGAATGAACCTATCCTAAGCCCCTCCTCAAAAACATTACATTATTTTTTCCCTCTCTATAAGAAAACCTTATATAAACCTTACATACATTAAGTAAAACCAGAACTCTGGAAATAAAAAAAAAATTCTACAGCACAATTTCTGAAATTTAGAATAGCTCCCTAAATATACAAAGAAAGATCAGAACATAGTTAATATTAAGTTCATTGAGTATTTGTATTTAGGCACAAATAGACTCAGTATTTAGATGTATTACTCTCATTAATGAGCATTTGAATACAATTTCACCAACAATGAAACTATACACAGAGGCAATAATTCCTTTCACATAAAACAATAAAGTAACAGTAAAATTTGAAGAAAAAATAGGAGTTATCAAGCTTCTTCATCTAAGAGTTGATTTCTTTCTCATTTTTCCCTTACCTAATTCCTGTTCCAGTCTTCCAAACCTTGTATTAACTTGACTCCTACTCAATCCCTTTCCCCCCCCCATTTTTTATTTCTCTTATTACTAATGAAGAAAAAACATTTTGTTTATTGGTTGTTTGTAATTTTATTCTTTCAATTCCTGTAAGAGCTATATTTCTTACTCTGCATAAAACCACAACATAAGTATATGTGGTATAATTTTGAGCTGATATTTACATAGGATAATTTATGGAGACATTGGAAAATGTTTATTTACTAATACCAAATCAATATTTGAATTAAAAGATCTCATACTTCTTAGGGAGAACCAGGTTAATGATGAAGAGAATGTGCAATGAGTCAGTGAGTTAGCCAGAAGGGAAAATAGCGTGGAATATTTCCTGCTATGACTAAACAAGACAAAGAAAAGAAAGAGAAGAGAGGGAGAGAGGGAGAAGGGAAAGAAAGGAATAAGGGAGAGGGGCAAAGACTCATTAGCAATGCAAACGGTAGAACTATCAACTGCCCTTTTGAGATGATTTTTTTCTTTTAAGTTCCCCTCAGTATTCATTTTAATCTTTTTTATTTGTGTGGGGCAGGGTGGGGGGAGCAGAACAACAATTTGCCTGGACAGAGCACTGTACTATGCATATATCTCAAAGGAAAGCACGAGAAGATATAATTTTAATTTATAATTTTAATATCTGTGGATATTTACACACATACACACAGAAAAGGACCTGGAAAAATATACATGAACAACTTAGTGATTTTCTGGTGAAGTCTGAGTGATCTATATATTTTTTTGTCAAATTTTTCTTTGGTAATAAGCGTGCATTGATATTATCATAAATAAAATAATTTACAGGGAGAACTAATTACAAATAAACAGGTACAACTCCTTCTTATTCTGAAGCAACAAACAACTGAATAAGTAATAATAGTATTATTCCTTACTACCAAATTTCTACTCTATATAACAAAGTTACATCTAAGACACTTGGGAAGAATAGAATTCTCTGAAAGGACACTTTAAATGTTTTAAAATAGTATAGTACTTGGAAATATTTTTAAAATAATTATATAAAAAAATTCAAATAGCAAGTATACTTATGTTATATGTTATATGCAATAGCACAAGTTTTTAAAAAGGTAAGTATTTAGTGATAACATTGGCTAATGTTTGAGAGTAACAGCCCTGTTTAAATAAAACTTATGGGCTGGCCAATTAGCTCAGTTGGTTACAGTGTGGTGATGATAACACCACGGTCCAGGTTTGGATACCTGTGCTTGCCAGCTGCCAGATAAATATATAAAACTTATGTTTTATGGCAATCATTCTTCCCAGCCAATGTTTGACTCAAAACCTTGCTGAATCATGCAAACCCTGGAAAGGGGGATTAGGATGGTATTTTAAGTTCTGTGTTATGCCAGCTCTTAAAATGAGTTATAATATTTAAGAATAAGGGGACACAGTCCAATAGTTAATGTACTGAAGCCCTAAAGCAAGTGTATCGAATTGCTGACACAGGCAATAACACTGGTCAGTTTTGTATTCAGGAAAAGCAAGATGTCAAGATAAATGAATTGATGAATTATTCAGGAAAATTATTTATATATGAAGTGTCAGCTACAAAAGATGATCCATACTATTATACAATAGAACAAAGATCTAAGGTACTAATACATTAAAGTTCTATTCACTAAAGAGGTCAGAGTAACTGAGAAAACAATGTCAGAGCTGCAGTATGTCAAGAAAATGCAGTAAGGGATGAAAGCTTAGGAAATCCCAGAGACAGAATTATCACACCAAAGCTAATTTAGGGGTGCCTATGATGTGAAGTTTATACTGAAACAAAGTAAGAAAGCAGATGTATCACAGAGATGCTTTGAACAACTAGCAAAAATGTGCATAAGAACTGAGGAAGACTGTAGTTATGACAAGGAATACAACTACACAGTTTTATACAACTACACAGTTCTGAAACTCTGGCAAAGACTAACTCCCCATCATGCATTCTCCCCTTCCTACTTAGTAACAGAACCCAATATTATTTGAGGCAACAATATACTCAGCAAAAAACCCCCACTATATTCTCAGCCTCTTTTACAGCTAAGCGTGGACTAAGTTCTGGGAACCAAGCATTAAGCATAAGAGTGAGATTTCTGGAGGCAGAAGGGACAATGCCTTTTACCTCCCCTTCCTTTTCCCTACTGACTGAAATACAGCATGAGGGACAATGAAGTGACTTTGAAAATGAATGCCATATATAAAGGATGGTGCAGAAGAAATATAGGAGCCTCAAGACCTGATAATACCATGGCACTGCCAAACCAATCCTGAACTGTCTCTAATTCTTATATGAGAAAGAAAAAAATTTCTTTCATATTCAAGCCACTGCTATTTCTCCCCCTCCCCCCGGAGATTTGGCCAAACCTAATTTTAGCTAACAGATGTACTGACTTACAAAGGGATGTATTTGGGTTTTATTCTAACGACCAACCCACGGAACAAAGATCCATGTGATGTTAGAACTAAGGAAGTAATAATGCATTGTAGTTCATTTAAATAAACAAAATAAACAGGAAGAAAATAAAGTCTAGCTAAGAGGTTCTAAACCTAAGCTCGACTTACGGTCAAGATGGCAGAATACACAGTACACAGTGTCACTCTCTCCCACAATCAACCAATTGACAACTATGAAAAAGCAATAACTGCCAAGTTGGGGCTGCTAGAGCCCAGGGGAAGAGGAGAGACTTACAGAGTTAATGAAGGCAGTAGAAGCTGCGATGAGAGAAAGAAAGGACCGCACCGACCATTTCGAGTCCCAGCCACTTCAAGGCTGGCCCTGGTGAGCACATGGAGCAGGAACTGACAAAAGCCACAGCTATGCCCTTCTTGTGAAGTTGCTTAGAGGCTGCAAGGGACAGGAGGGCCTTAGTGGCCCCCAGGCCAGCTGGACTACTAACAGGGTTTCTGTGGTCTCACATAGTAGCGAGGGGTCACAGGCACCTGAAAAAAGGAGCCACTCAGAGGCTGGTGAGTCATTGCAAGGGACCAGTGCATGACCCATCCTATGGGAAATGTTTAGAGTGTGGGCAGTGGGGGATATGAACCCAATGTGGGAACACTGGGGCACAGCATGGACAGCTGATCTGCCCCCCAGTCAGCAGGATCACTCAGTAGAGACTGGTCAGGTATATAGAACTGTGGGGGGTGAAGTTTTCTGAAAAAACTCAGGCCCAGACCAGAGTTTCCACACAATCTAGGTGTACCGGACCTCACAAGACCCGGAATTGCTTACAAGGTCAACAATTAAAACCTGAGCTGCACAACAAGCCTTCCCCAGGGAATCAGCAGCAAAGCAGCAATTTAGCTCAACCAGAGGGCTCAAGCACTGGTTCCCACAGGAAGTTCCTCCATTTTAGAAGTAAGCAAAGGACAACAAATTAGTTCCAGTGCAGAGTTTAAGTGGTGGAGGTAGCTAATAATCCAACATAGTACTGAAAGAAAACACAAAACCCCCACAGATCAGAGACAGTTTTGATATTAACCAGTAAAGGTCTAATACCACCAAAGAACACCTATAAAACCCAGAAGGACCAGAAGCCTCCTGGGATCCCAAGCCAGGGTGGGAAGCAGGCTGAGGGCCTGAGCCATGCTCCCCTGATGTCCACATCCAGCCCAGGAATGACTGAGCCCCCACTGGAAGCCCTCTGGGCTCCCAAGCTAGGGGTGGGGGGTGGGGGCCAGAAAGGACCTCAGCCATGACCCCTGACATCTGCATCCAGCCCAGCAATAACACAAGGTTGTCACTGGAAGCTCCTCAGGATCCCATGCCAGGATGGAGGGGCTGAAGGCCTCAGCCAGGCCTCCTGAGCATCCACCCAGCCCAGTGATGACCACTGAGCTACCGCTTGAAACGCTCAAGCCAGGGTGGGGAGGGGCTGAGGATCCAGCACACTGATGACTACCAGGCTACCATCAGAAGTGCCCCAGGCTCCCGAGCCAGGATGCTGGGCAGAGGACCTCAGCTATGCCACCCCTCGAATGTCTGCATCTAGCCTAGCAACAACCACCGAGCCACCACTGGAAGCACCCTGGGCTCCTGAGCCAGGGCAATGGGAGGCTGAGGGCCTCAGCCACATCCCCCCAACATCTGTATCCAGCCCAGCAACAATGACCAGGCCATGGCTGGAAGTGCCCCAGGCTCCTGAGCCAGGGTCGAGGGGGCCAAGTGCCTCAGACACACCTCCCTGACATCTGCATCTAGCCCAGCCATGACCACCAGGCCACCGCTGGAAGCACCCTGGGCTCCTGAGCTGGGGTGGGGGGCACTGAGGGCCTCAGCCACACCCCCCTGACGTCTGTATTCAGCTCAGCCACAACTGAGCCACTGCCAGTAGCCCCGAGCTCCTGTGCCAGAATAAGGGGGGGTGCTACAGGCCTCGACCACACCCCTCTCCCTCCTTCCCTATCCTCCCATCCCATCTCTTTCCCCTTTCTTCTCTCCCCCTCCACCCTCCTCTCTCCCTCTCTATCCCAACTGCTTTGCAACATCTTAGAATGTAAATAATAATAATAATAAATAAATGTTTTTAAAAAAATTTAAAAATAAAATCAGAGAACATCAAAAATAAATCAATCTAAGGTCCATAAACGGACTTCAAAGGGTCTGAGAATCCCCGAGAATCAAAAGAATATTTTTGAAGTATGCCCATATGTGTGTATCTTTGGAGGGAGAGTGTTCAGAGCTTTGATCAAATTCTTAATGTGATCCATGACCCGTCTAGAGTCTTGAAGTTTTTTTTCCTATTCCTCCTGTTATATTTCAAATATTTCCTCATGCTGGATCTTTCAAACAATTGGCTAATAATACATCTGTAATAATATAAATTACACTTTTACTTTGAAGATATGATTAAAATTTTCCTTTGTGAATTTTGAAGCCACCTGAGTGTCTTCTATTCATCATCTTACCTCCCCGTGGTAATTCTGTGTGAAGAAAAGCCAGTCCTCTAGTCACAGAATGAGCCAGACGGCAAGAGCATACCCAGTCACTTGTATGGAGACTCAAATACTTGCATAGAGATCCCTTTATAGAGAGGAAAATGCCAGAAAAAAGTGAAATTAATTTACTTTGACATGAAGAGATAAGTTAGCAACCGTATAAAGGATTTGCATAGGCTAGGATTCCATGAAGATCTAATGAACTACTACATTTCAGAATCTTGAGTTAGTAAGACATTTTTATGTGTAGAGAGAAGAGCAGAGGATGGAAAAGAAAGAAGAATTAAAAAATTATTAACTTTTATGTCTCCAGTATTAAAAATTATAAATGGTATTTCCTTTTAAACGCTTTTTTGATCTATCAAATTAAGACAGGAAAAATATACTTTATCTTTTACCAGTATACAAATAAGAACTATACTGTTATGTTTTACAAGTAGAAAACGAAGGCTTTTGTAAATATATATGTATTGGTGCTACTCAAAGTGCTTATCTACAAACTATTACCAGTCTCTGATGAGTTAAAGAGCTTGCACCACAATGAATATCAAAATATTGCTTCCTTCATTGAGAAAGTTTTGCTATAGAGAGAAAGAGAGAGAGAGAGAAAGAGAGAAAAAGGAGAGCTGAATAAACAGTGTAACTACTGATTTAGTTGATTCACATTCTAGTGTGAAATCCTTGTCTCACTGACGATCATTAACAACAAGTCTGCAAACCAGCAATACTCTACATTACAGTGGTCCTCCTGAAAGTCTGATTGACAGCTAATATAAATGTCAGTTAATTTTTTATGAACAACTTACATTGGGATAATACTCCATCACAAGCAAATACTCCATGCGCCCATCTGCAGTGACTCTCTCATCGCCAACTATAAAGCGAGCAATATTGTCATGTTCCATCAAAGGCACTCTGTAAATGTTCTTCTCGTTAATAAAATTTTGACGGTTTGCAAATGAAAACACTTTTACAGCAACTGGACGTTCATCCAAGGAACCTTTATATACTGCTCCATATCGACCCCGGCCAATCAGCTGTAAGTTTGTTTTAAAGAAAGCAAGGTATTAATTTATATCACAATTAAAGAATCAAACTTACTAAATAATAAAGTATAATTCCATATGGTATCACATCTTTCTATTGCTTATAGTTTACTCCATTATCGAGAAACTAATACAATCCATATCTGGTAAGACTAAGGAAGCTTCTACCAGACCCAGCCCTCCTGCAGGTAATAACTAAAAACTCTGTACAATATTTGAAAAAAAAAAAAAGATTTAAATGCACTGGAGAATAAACGAAAGCATATAGATTCTGAGAAACATCAAGGCTTAGAAGAAAGGAATGGCATGGGATAAGCTACCCATTTTTATGGCTTTTAGCCTGAGGGCAGGCTGAAATCAGCTCTGTGCATCAGAGCTAAAACTGCAATAAAAAATCCATAATCTTCTTTTTTTGTGTGTGGCTGGCTGGTTCAGGGATCCACACCATGCTCTAACCAACTGAGCTAACTGGCCAGCAGAAAATCCATAATCTTTCTGGCCCCAGAAGCCAGAGGACACAATTTGGAGAAACCACAGCTGCTGGAAGATGAGGGGAGAATCCTGGAAAGGTGAAAGTCAGAGAGGGGGAAACTCAATGAATGCATGGGACAGACTCTAGCTAAAAATAAAACTGATATCTGAGCATCTGCCCAAGAGACAGGTTTGCAGTATGTGTACAATGAAGTTAATTGCTTACTAAAACAAACAACAAAAATCAGCACACTTTAGAATAACATAACAGAGTCCGGGGTCTCCACAATATAACATTCATTCATATTTGGGATACAATAAAAATGACTCAGTACATAAAGAACCAGCAAAATGTAACCCATTCTCTTCATTTTTGGCTTCTGGGAATTTCTCTCATTTTTTATTGAAACAGATTAGGGATTTGCCATCATTTTATTAAAGGATGTTTGTTATATTTCATTCACTATTTGTAGGTTAAAATTTAACATATAGACAAACTATCCTTTAAAATGTTGTATCAGTATATAGTTAAATCAGCAATGTTTGGGAGTGTTTCTTTCACTCATTCCTGGATATAATTTCCTGGTTAAATTAGTATTTCTTTCAATTTAGTAAATTAAACATCTTATTGTACATTTATTAGCCATAATTACTTCTTTTGTGAATTGGCAGTTCATTTCTTTTGTCTATTTTTTTTTTTTTTTTTGTCTTTTTGTCTTTTTTCCGAGTCCGGCAACGGATCGCAACCCTCAGTGTTGCCCCCGTACCGGACCGGGGACCGGCAACGGGATTGCAAGCCTCGGTGTTGCTCCCGCGCCTCGCTCAGCCAGTGAGCGGGAGCCAGTCGGTATGTGGGATCTGAACCCTCGGACGGGAGCGCCACCGCGCTTCCCAAGTGGCGCACTATCCAGTGCGCCACCGGGCCGGCCCCTCTTTTGTCTATTTTTTATGGATTATTTCTTCCGTATTGATTTATATCAGCTCTTTTTCAATTCATTCCATATATGCTGAAATGTTTTTTTCAAATTTGGCTTTTAAATTTACTGTATTTTTCCCCCCAAATGTTAAGGTTCTTAAAGTGTTTTATAAAATAGTCAAATCATATCTCAGACTCTGGTCTGAGGACCATAGTTATAAAGAGATTTCTAATAAAGATTTTAAAAACACTCATCATGTAAGACTTTTAACATAGCTTCTGAGATTATTTCCAAGTGAATCTTAAATTCTATGAAATATATAATAGCCATATGTACCTATATGCATAGATAAGGAATATTTATTGGGCATCTACTATGAATTCCTTATTGGCACACTCTTCTCAGGATTTTACAGATCTTTAATCCTATTCTCTGTTCAAATCTGTACTCAAGGGCTGGCCCGGTGGCGCACTGCTACAGTGCGCCGCTTGGGAGCGCGGTGGCGCTCCCGCCGAGGGTTCGGATCCCACATACAGACCGGTTCCCGCTCACTGGCTGAGCGAGGTGAGGGCGCAACACCGAGGGTTGCGATCCCGTTGCCGGTCCCGGTCCGGTACGGGCGCGACACTGAGGGTTGCGATCCGTTGCTGGACACGAAAAAAGACGAAAAGGAAAAAAAAAAAAAACAAAAAACAAATCTGTACTCAAAGGTCATGCCTTTCTAAATATACTTTCTTTAATAATCCCGTTTCCATCACTTTCTTTTCTTCTTATCCACCTGACTTTTCTTCATAGCACTTATTACTACTAGAAATTATACTATACATTCATTTGTTTATCTGTTTGTAGACTCTCCCCCACTAGCCCCAAGAGGGACATCTGTATTGTTCACTTGTAGTAACAGCGCCTAGAATAGGACCTGGCACAAAATTGATACTCAGTAAATGTGGGTTAAATAAATGAGAGCATGAAGTCACTGTCTCAGATATATTATGAAGGTAAAAAGAACAGTCCATAATCTCAGAGCAACCTTACCTCCAACAGTTTCAGATTATCTAGGTCAAGAGAGGGCTCTGATGCTGCTGCCTCCATCATGTTCATACTGTGAAGACCTTGTTTACGGTCTCCTATAGGAACAGGAAAAAGAAGTTATTGACATGTGGTTTTCTTAAAATGAAGATCTTTATTACACTTTTTATTATATTAAAGCTAAAAGGAAGAGTTGCAGAAGAGTTGGCAACAAGAATTATGCCAAATGTCAATGGGAGTAAAACTATGCACTAAAGTAGGAATCATCTATAAATGAAGATGAATGATGAATAGCATGAAAGCTGAATTCCAGTAGATGTTTCCACCACGACTTAGGCTAAAACTATAAAACTCTAAGAAATATTGCAAAAACTTTAAAAATGTTATTGAAGTTGTTCAAATGAATGAATGGGTGCTGATTTCCTAAACAGCCCATCAAACCTAAAGTTTATTAGAACCAACTGTACCTTTGATGATACTGAGGAATTACTGTTACCTTGGGGGGTGTAAAAATGATATTATGCTTATGAATTTAAGTCCTTATATTACAGAGATAATAGTGAAGTATTTATAGGTATGTAGTAACTGTGATTTGCTTCACAATAATCCAATGGCATGGAAGGAGGCAGTGACTGGAGATTTAGACGATACATCATTGCCTATATGTGATTACTACTGAAGCTGAGTGATAGGTATTTTGTGTAAGTTTGAAACTTTTCATTAAAAACTGGGGGGAATGGGGCCGGCCTGTGGCTCACTCAGTAGAGTGCGGTGCTGATAACACCAAGGCCACGGGTTCGGATCCTATATAGGGATGGCCGGTTTGCTCACTGGCTGAGCGGGGTGCTGGCAACACCAAGCCAAGGGTTGAGATCCCCTTACCGGTCATCTTTTAGAAAAAAAAAAAAAAACTGGGGGGAATGGGGCCGGCCTGTGGCTCACTCAGTAGAGTGCGGTGCTGATAACACCAAGGCCACGGGTTCGGATCCTATATAGGGATGGCCGGTTTGCTCACTGGCTGAGCGGGGTGCTGGCAACACCAAGCCAAGGGTTGAGATCCCCTTACCGGTCATCTTTTAGAAAAAAAAAAAAAAAAAAAAACTGGGGGGAAAATTTTTATTAGAGAGAAGGACCGTAGTACAGAGAATTTTTTTTAGCATTTAGCAGAGACACTTTATTTCATCTTATTTATTTGTTTGTTTTGGTGGCTGGCCAGTACAGGTATCGAACCCCTGGACCTTGGTGTTAGCAGAGATTTTATTTTTTTATTTTTTTGGTAGCTGGCTGGTACAGGGATCTGAACCCTTTACCTTGGTGTTGTAAGACTGTGCTCTAACCAACTGAGCTAACCAGAGAGCCCCTCAAAGAGATTTTAAAAAGGAGAAAATTAATTCTGATTAAATGGTATGTTTAATAAATGATACGACAAAAACTGATAATTTTTACCTGTCAACATTCTGTATCCAAAGCATAAGGCAACTATCAAAACAGCTAATACAGAGACTGATGCCAAAGCAATGATTATCGTCTCATCTCGGTTAAAGGAATGAGGTGGACCTAGGAGAAAACAAATTTAAAGACATTGTCATGATTTATAGTTTTTTTAGTATTTGGTTAAATACCAACAGATTGCTCTTTTGAAAGGCTATGCATAATCAAATCAGTAAAGTTTTCGCACCAAAGAAAATGAAAGAAAAATTAATAATAAATTTGTGACAATTGCAAATCATTTTTAATCATACAGATTATCTTAACCAGGTTTGGAACACCAAAACACTTGTTAGGTGTGCTCCTAATTACCAAAATATCAACTATATCATCAAACAGCATAGATAGGATAATATAATATTTAAGAGCATAGTCTTTAGAATAACATTTGATTTTTTTTTTCCTTTTTGTCTTTTTTACTGGCTGGTAACAGGATCGCAACCCTTGGTGTTGCGCCCGTACCGGGGACCGGCAACGGGATCGCAACTCTCGGTGTTGCGCCCGCACCACGCTCAGCCAGTGAGCGGGAACCGGTCTCCACATGGGATCCGAACCCTTGGCGGGAGCGCCGCCGCACTCCCAAGCGGCGCACTCTCCAGTGCACCACCGGGCCGGCCCAACATTTGATTTTTAAAAATTTTAAAAATTAATTAATTATTATTATTATTTTTACATTCTAAGATGCTGTTGCAGAGCAGGTGGGGGGAGGGGGATAGGGTGGGAGGAAAAGGAAGGAATGGGGGCATGGTCAAGACCTGTGGCACACCCCTCATTTGGATAGGGGAGCCTAGGGGGGCTTCCAATGGTGACCTGGTTGTGGCTTGGCTGGATTTGGACTTTGGTGGGTGGGGGGCGTGGTTGAGGCCCTTGGCACCCCCTAACTCGGGAGCCCCGGGTGCTTCCGGTGGTATCTCAGTGTTTGGTCGTCACTGTGCTGGATGTGGATGGTGGGGATCTCTGGCTGAGGCCTTCGGCCCCCAACCACCCCCGCTTGGGAGCCTAGAAAGCTTCTGGCTGGCTCAGTGGTCACTGCTGGGCTAGATGCAGATGTCAGGGGGCATGGCTGAGGCTCTCAGCTCCCCCACCACCCAGGATTGGTAGCTAACGGGCTTCTGGTCCTTTTAGGTTTTATAGGTGATAGGTGTTCTTTGGTGGTGTTAGACCTTTACTGGTCAATATCAAAACTTTGTCTCTGATTTGTGGGGATTTTGTTTTTTCTTTCAGTTCTGTGTTGGATTATTCACTACTTCCACCACTTAAACTCTGCACAGGAACTAATTTGTTGTCCTTTAGTTACTTCTAAAGTGGGGGGACTTCCTGTGGGAACCTTATTTGAGCCCTGTTGTTGAACTAAGTTGCTTCTTTGCTGCTGATTCTCTGGGGAAGGCTTTTTGTGCAGCTCAGGTTTTAATTGCTGACTTTGTAAGTACTTCCAGGTCTTGTGAGGTCCAATACACCTAGGTTGTGTGGAAACTCTGGTCTGGGCCTGTGTCTTTTCAGCAAATTGCAACCCCTGCAGTTCTATATTCCTGACCAGTCTCCACTGGGTGGGCCTGTGCTGACTGGAGGGCAGATAAGTTGTCCATGATGTGGCCCAATGTCCCCATGGTGGGCCCGTCTCCCCCACCACCTGTACTCCAAACACTTCCCATGGACAGGCCATGTGCCCGTCCCTTGCAGTAACTCACCGGCCTGTGACTGGCTCCTTTTATCAGTTGTCTGTGGCCCCTCACTTCTATGTTGGTCCATGGGAACCCTGTTAGTGGTCTTGCTGGCCTGGGGGCCACCAAAGCCCTCTTCTCCCTTGCAGCCTCCAAGCAACTTCACAAGAAAGCTGTGGGTTTTGCTAGCTCCTGTTCCATGTGCTCACTAGGGTTAGCCTTGAAATGACCAGGGCTCGAAACGGTTGGAGCAGTCCTTTCTTTCTCTCATTGTGATTTCTCCTGCTTTCATGAACTCTGTAGGTCTCTCTCTTTCTCTTCCCCTAGGCTCTAGTGGCCCCATCTTGGCAGTTGTTGCTTTTTAATAGTTGTCAATTGGTTGATTATGGGAGAGGGTGATGCTGAGTACCGTCTATTCTGCCATCTTGATCAGAAATTCCACATTTGGTTTTATTTTACTTTTTAAAAAGATGACCAGTAAGGGGATCTTAACCCTTGACTGGTGTTGTCAACACCATGTTCTCCCAAGTGAGCAACCGGCCATACCTATATAGGGATCTGAACCCTTGGCCTTGGTGTTATCAGCACCACACTCTCCCAAGTGAGCCACGGGCCAGCCCTCACAATTGGTTTTAAATCCTGGCTCTACACCACTTGTTCAGTGGACTTGAGCAAATTATTTTTTCCTGTGTTTCAATTTCCTCATTTGTAAAAGTAGTACTCTGTATCTCACAAGTAATCTGTGAGGCTTAGTCTGAGTCTAGCTGCTTAGCAGAGTGTTGAGTATAAATTATCTATGCAATAAATTATAGTTATGTTTATCAATATTGATAGTATTATTATTAATGAAAAGAACATGGTTTTGCAAGCAGTTAAATCTGAACTGGACTTGAAGCTCAGCTCTTCCACTTACTATGTGACCTTGGGAAAATTTTTTCACTTGTCTGATCCTAATTTTTCTCACTTGCAGAATGGGAACACACGTATCTAAATCACAGAGCTATAACAAACATGTAAACATTTTATATGTCAGTTCAATTCTACAGGTCAGATCATGTCTAGTGCAAATACCCTTTGGGATGAATCCACAATCTACGGCTTATCCAGAAGAGAGCAAGTTGAATGGTAAAAGTATGAGTACTCTGAATTGTGATGGGCAGAAACTGAAAGTGCCTAATGTGGAAAAGAGAAAACTTGGGAGGATATAAAAGCTGTCTTCATGTGAAAAAACGGATTTGTTCTGAATAGCTAGATAGAATAACCAGATCCAATAGCGTATGTTCAAGGACAATTGTCTTTAGCTTATGTATTAGTTCATTTTGTTGCTTATAACAAAATACACAGAACTGGGTAATTATAAAGAAAATGAAATTTATTGCTTACAGTTTCTGAGGCTAGGAAGTCCAAAGTCCATCTGGTAGTAGTGACAGTGACCCAGGGGTCTCACATTGCAAGATGGTGGAAGCAGAGAGAGCAAGACAGAGAGACAGACAGACTCTCTTCTTTTAAAGCCTCAGAACCATGCTCCTGACCACCATTTTTAATGCATTCACTACTGCAGGGTCCTACAATCTAATCACCTCTTTAAGGTTCCACCTTTCAGTTACCATAATAGGATTTCCCACCCTCCTAACAGTCATAGTGGGGGCTAAGTTTCTAATACATGAAACTTGGGGGGACACAATTCAAGCTTCAGGGAATTTTGGGGGGACATAATTCAATCCACTACAGCTTAACATACAAAAGAATTTATGGCTTACAAATACAGCTATCTAAAATGGAATGAGTTTGCTATGAAATAGCTGTTCATTATTTTACTAGAGATATTCACATGCTGTTTGTTAATACTGACCAGAGGCTGGGCTTGATGTCTGCTAATATACTTATTTAATCATTCTTTACATTCAATCAAAATCAAGTATACTGTATTTTAAAACTTTCTTACTTTAGACACTATAATCATGTGTTGTATTCAAACTAGAAGCTTCTATGACAAAGTAAGAAGCATTTATGGCAAAGAGTTCCTCTATTCTAAATGAATTTATTTGTCTCAGTCAAATTAAGCACAAAATGTCAAAGTAAGCACTGAAATAGTCTTATTTGCAGGACTTTTATTAGATATTAATAGATTCTAATACACTGATAATTGTATTTACTTTTAACATATAGAGTAAGTTATAGGCAGAAAAGCTACATATAAAAACTCATTTGACCACAATGAGATATCACTTCACACATACCAGCATGGCTATAATTAAAAAAAAGAAAAAGAAAATAAAAAGCATCAGCAAGGATGTGGAGAAATCAGAACTCTTGTACATTGCTCTCGGGAATATAAAATGGTACAGATACAGCAGAAAACAGTTTGGAGGTTCCTTAAAAAGTTAAACAGAATTACCATAAGACCCAGCAATTCCACTCCTAGGCATACACCCAAAATAACTAAAAATATGTGTTACAACAAAAACTTCTAAACGAATGTTCATGGCATCACTATCCACAATAGGCAAAAGTGGGAACAATATAAATGTTCATAATTGATGAATGGATAAACAAAATGTGGATATACAAAAGGCTGCATATTCTATGATCCCATTTATATGAAATATCCAGAATAGGTAAACCCATAGAGACAGAAAGTGACTGCTTACTAGATACAGGGTTTCACTTGTGGAGTGATAAAAAATGTCTGGAACTAGATAGAGTTGATGGTTGCACAACATTGCAAATGTATTAAATGATACATTTTAACATGGTTAACCCTATGTAATATGAATTTTACTTCAATTAACAAAAGAAAAACCCTAACTCATTTTAGAATTTGCTAAACCAAAAAGAGAAACTTTATTTTCAATGCACTTAAACACATACACAAAACTAAATAATAATTTACAGATTCTTTACTATAAGATATACACAAATATTTATGTGCTTACTGATCTTCCCCTAAGTTTACTGACTGTCAAACACTTTTTTTTTTCCTAAGGTAACTCTGAAGCTTTCTACTATGGTATAAGTTAATCAGTAGCATTCTAGATTCATTAGTATGTAAGCTATCATTCAATCAGATTGAATGAAATGTGATGCTATCAAAAATTCCAGAAGAGAAAAGTAAATTAATTATAAAGGAATTGGTTTTCTTTTATATATATATAAACTTGTCAAAAATATTTTAAAAAAAATTTTAAGGAAGAAAATTAATGTTTATCTTCTCAAAGTAAGAAAAAAAGTAAGAACAAAAAGCACAGTATTTCGTTTTTAAAATCACTAAATAATGCTCACATTTTATTTGTGATTCATTAGGGTAAAAAGAAGGAAAAGGTGAGAGATAAAAAGTGGAGGACAAAAAGGAGAACATGGAGATAACAAAAATAGTGACATTTCAGGTAAAGAAGAGAGGTTCCAAGC